ATCAGCCCCACCAAAACTAAGCATCTGCCTGGGTATTTTGTACCATCGGACACTCCACCCCCACAACTCCGAATCGGTGATGAGGCAGTTGTGGAGAGAGTGGAGAGTTTCCCATACCTGGGCAGTGTGCTTATGACCGGCTCCAGTTTAACAGCAGAGGTCTCACTCCGAATCAGTCCAGCGGCAATATCTTTTCATCGGTTGCGTAACGCTGTGTGGAAGCTACCTGGTCTGTCGCTCCGCACTAAGCTTCAGGTCGGCCACGGTCATTCCCTCCCTTCTCTACGCTTGCGAAACGTGGACCCCCCTAATGGAACATCTTCGCCGGTTAGAAACATTTAGGCTGGCCTGCCTACGATCCTGGGTTTAACCAGGCTGGATTGTGTGAGCTCACAAATCCTTGAAAGATCTGGGCAAGGTCCCATCGATGTGCTCCTCCGGCGGGCAAGGCTGCGTTGGCTGGGTCATGTAGCCCGCATGCCCAGCCACCGCATGCCGAAACAGCTTTTGTTCGGCCGGATCGAGGGGGCTAAACGGGCGCGGCACGGGCTAGAGAAGAGATGGAGTGATGTGGTACAGGAGGACGTGGAGCTGAGTGGACTTGCCGATGACTGGTACCAGCGGTGTCACGATCGGCCTCTGTGGAGGAGGCTCGTGAAGGACGCTGCTGGGCAGTTGGAGGCAGTCGCCCTCCAACAACAACGGAGGGCGGAGGAGCGACGCTCACAGCAACGAGCGGAGCGCCGGGTGGCTAAAGCACAGCAGATTGGCGCAGTAAGGGGCACAGGTGCTGCATCAGCCAGTCACATCAGTCAGTCGACCCGTGGCACCTGCTGGGTCTGCCACGTGACCTCCTGCCAGCGGGCGTTCGACACTTCACGTGGCCTCAAGGTGCACATAGCCTGGCACAGGCGTCGTGGTGACGTCACCGCCACTTAGTGGTGGTTGTTGTTGTTATTGGGTGGTGGGGTTGGGGGGGTAGGCAGGTTAATCTGACAGCCGCACCACGTGACGCGAGTCCTACGGCGGAGGTCACGTGCCTCGCGCGGACCAATCGCACGTCGCCGTTGTCTGTCCGAGACGGAGGTCGCGGCCCCGCTGCCCGCTCTCTCCCAGCTCTCCCCGCGCTCTCTCCCAGCTCTCTCACAGCTCTCGGCGCGCCCATGGCCGCCTCCTAGACGCTCCTCAGTCGCTCCCCGCTGCCGTAGAATCGCCGCGCGGCAAACCCCGATCGCGATGTCGGTCGCTCTCCGCCTTCTCCTTGCCTGCGGCCTGGCCGCCGTATCCGCAGCCTCGCCCTCGCCTGGCCCTTCTACTGCCCCGGGGAGCGCGGGCCCCGCCGACGCGGGGACCCCCTCGATCCCGGCCTTGGGCCCGACCGCGGTCCCCTCGTCGCCGGGGCTGAACGCGAGCGGCGGCGGCTCCCGGCCTCAGGCCGCGGCTCCGCCCGAACACATGGCGGCAATGGAGGGGGACAGCGCCCTGCTGCACTGCAACGTGAGCGGCAGCCCCGAGCCGAGCGTCGCCTGGATCTCGCCCCGCGGGGTCTCCGCACTGCAGCCGGGATCCGGTAAGGGACTGCGGCCTCCGACACCGCCTCTGCTGCTGCTGCAGTAGCAGCTGCGCCACTGGCTGCGGCTTGTCTAGCAGCCGTAGTACACGCAGTAGCAATGGGAGCGACACCGTTTGCTGCTGCTGCTGTATCAGTCGCAGCAGCAGTAAACACCAATAGTTTCAGAGGTAATAGTCGCCGTGCCAGTGATGTATTTGGCAGTAGTACCCGCACCAGCAGTAGCAGTGGTAATATAACGGCAGCAGTAACAGCACCGGCAGCAATATCGGCAGTAGTAGCTGCAGCTGTACCACTGGAAGCAGCAGGAATACTCGCAGCAGTAGTAACACCGTCAGCAGTATCCACACCACCAGCAAAACTAGCTGCCAGTCGTAGTAACACAAGCTGTGGTAGCAGTACTTATCTGATTCAGCAGCAGCAGGAGGGCTTGCTATATCAGCATAGGTAACAGCACCAGCAGCGATGCCAACCGAAACAGCTGTAGCAGTAGTAACGGCACTAACAACAACACTTTGTCAGGAGAGAGCTTTGGTTTACTCACTGCGTGTGGGTTACCGTGTCTGCCCACAACGGAGTCCTGCAGCATCCTGTAAACACCTCGCCACTCGCAGGACCAGCAACAAGCAGCACACGTAGACAGATTAGCGACAGTAGTAGCGGCAACAGCTATCAGACGAGTGCTAATTGATACTTTATTTGTGCTTTGAAGAAGGGTGGTTGCCCGAAACGGCGCCTCTTATTTCAGTGACGAATGTGTAGGGTTTCGTTATTTGTTGCACCACCGCCAAGGCCGCAGTATCACCAAGCGCTTTAACGAGCAGAGCAGGCGGCCGTCGCATCCCCCGTGGCTTGCGTCTGGCCATGGGGGTGGAGGCCGAAGTCGGCTTCTCGTTCTGCCCCACATTTATACCCCAAATGGACCGTGCGAGGAGGAGCCGCCGCCGCCGCAGGCGCACCGGCTCCTCGTTCCTCCGATGTGAGTCGTGGCCGCGTTTGTGACCTTGGGCAAGAGCCCCGACTCTGCCGCCTGGTGGAGACGGCGAGGTGTTTCTGGCGAATGAGAGAGTGGTCCGCCGGGGTCTCGACGGGGTCTCCCACACGCAGAAGCCGCAGACCACACCGATTCCATTTGTGTGCGAATAATACAATGGCGTGGCTGCTGTGCGCGCTCTTAAGTTGTGTCCGCTCGTAGACCAGATTTGTTGAACCGCGTACCTTTATTCGTAAACCAATTCCCACTTGTGCTTCTTTTCGCTTGCACGACGAAGCGGTGATACTAAGTTTGTTTTAGTGTGGGTTACCGTGTTTAGGCCTCAGGTTAAGGGTTGCAGTTATGGGTTAAGATTGTGAGGTTTGGATGAGGGACAGCTTATCAAATATCAATTTGTTACCCTCGAATTTGTAGGGGTAGTGATTTTGGTTTTATGAAAACACGATGTAAGTACAGTATCTAAACACGCCAATTAATACATCTTTGAAAAGAGGGTCTTTAGACTTGGTGACGTTTTCCAGGATGCGACAAAAATTGAGATATGTCACCTGTGTGGCCTGTTGGTTTTCTAATCATGCCCTTACCCAAATAAACAAACATCACTCTAAACAAGTTTTCTTGAACCCAACCAGTCTTGAGCACCACCCTCCTCCAGGTTTGGTAGCGGGCGGTCTGACGTAGCCGTCAGTCTCACCGACCGGCGAATGCAGCGAAATTTAAAGTCTACCCTACCCCCTGGTCTCCTTCCTTCCCCCCTCTCCACCCCGTCCCCCCAGGCCGCTGGCAGGTGGAGGACACGGGCGACCTGAACATCAGCCGCGTGCGCGTTGAGGACCGCGGCCGCTACACCTGCATGGCCACAAACGAGTATGGCAGCGCCAACTTCACGGTGACGCTGCGCGTGGTGTACGTGAGTGGAGACCTCGGCATCTACTACGTGCTCGTGTGCCTCATCGCCTTCACCATCATCATGATCCTCAACGTGACGCGCCTCTGCATGATGAGCAGCCACCTTAAGAAGACGGAGAAGGCCATCAACGAGTTCTTCCGCACGGAGGGCGCCGAGCGCCTCCAGAAGGCCTTCGAGATTGCCAAGCGCATCCCCATCATCACCGGCGCCAAGACGCTCGAGCTCGCCAAGGTGACGCAGTTCAAGACGCTCGAGTTTGCGCGCTACGTCGAGGAGCTGGCGCGCAGTGTGCCACTCCCGCCGCTCATCACCAACTGTCGCAACATCGTCGAAGAGCTGGTGGAGGCCGTCTGGGTAGAGGGGGCGGCGCCGGTGCCTACCGAAGACGACGACGAGGTGGAGGGGGCTACCGGCGGCACGAGCGGCGCCGGCGGCTGCGTCTACACCATCCCGCCGCACGGCGACCGCGACTCGGCAACCTGCGACTCGGATGACGCCGCGTCGCTGCCGGGGCGCCGTCACATCGCCATCCAGGTCGCCGTGCACGAGCACAAGCCGGACGGCGGCGCTGCTGCCGATTCCTCGACCCAGCAGCAGCAGCAGCAACCGCCGCCGCCTGCAAGTGCCGGCAATGCTGCCGTTACTACTGCTGCTGCTGCTGGTTCCTCCTCCTCCCCGCCCGTGTCGGCGTCGGCATCGGCCCAGCACAGCCGCAATGGCAGCTCCATGTCGGGCGCCAGCGTGAAGGACGGCGAGGTGGCGCTCGCGCCGGCCGCCTCGTGCGTGTGCTACGAAAGCCACGTGTGAGGTGGCTCCGCCTGGGTTTTGGGCGCCCCCTGGAAGGGATTGGGCATGCGAGGGGTATTTTGGACAGAGGAGCGGGGGTCTCAGACCCCCGAAGAGAGAGGAGTCTTGCACGCAGAGGGGAAATGATGTTGGGATGAGTGGCTCTGTTGTCTCCCACGCCCAGAGGCGTTCAAAAGCTTCTTCCAAAACAACTACACCTTTTGTACAGTGCTTAGCGTAGTCCCTGTGGATTGTCACATTACATGTAGGCTGGGTGTGGTGAGATACACTTATTTTCTCTGCATGGCTAAATCCTAAAAAAAAGTTTTCCCCCAGTGCTTTTTCGTGCTTTACCCACAGCGTCCATGAATTAACACAGAGTGGGTCATGATGGGTTCTGGCTGGTGTTTTGACAACCTTGCCCACACAGGCATATACCCCTGTGACACATCAGATGGTTAAACTACAGGCTGTGGAGCAGGTGATGTCGCTGTACCCACGATTGTTCTCAGCAACCACCGCTCAGTCAGGAACCCGATTAACCCACTTGTGGGCTAATGTAGATACGGTGGTTTGTCTTGATTATGTCACTCGTACTGAGATTAAAATATTTTAAATAAACGTTTGGAAGAGATTAATTTGGTGTGCTGTGTGTGTGTTTCAGCAGAGCTATGCAATATATATTTTTAAATGACTGGGCTGTTATCAATGATTACATGTAAAGGAATATACATTTCATGTTCTGTGCAAAAAACAACCTTTATTTTAAAGTGAAGCAGGGTCCACAAGCCAACCCAAGCCGGCACGGCTGCGGAGACAATCTTTAAGGCACGGCGGTTACATTGTGTGTGCGTGTCGTGTATGTGTGTGTGTGTACAGTACATGTTTGTCCGCGAGACTAAATATTTAAACACACTGGCCAAATGCGAACAAAACCAAAAAAAATACCCCGGTGCGTAACGTGTTCACCCTCCACCCAAGGCGACGTAAAGCTCACCCCTTTCGCCCTCTCCCGAGGGAGACCCGACGGAGAGGGCCATGAGCAGCAGCCACCTGCACTGGCCTGAACTCAAACCCGGACCTCACCCCTCCCGCACAACGCTGACGAATCACGTTACACGTCGAGTCACGTAAAGCGTATCGCGCGCTGCTGACGAGTCGCCCCGGCCCCTCGGCGCGCTTGGCACGTCGCGGATTCAGAATGGCCGCCACCACGTTCGTTGAGGGGGGGGGGGGGGGACCAACGGGGTCACGTGGCGTCGACGCGCTCTTCCATGGACTCTACGCTTGCGGCTGAAGTCCATCTGAGAAACAAGGTGTTGACACGGGGAGATGAAAAAAAACATTCCAATGTTTATACAACACAACAAGAAATGAAAGACCCCCCCGGTTTAGCCTTTAACAGACTTGGTGCAAGTCCTGTTAGCGAGTAGCACCTATGAAGGTCAGCAAAAGCACAATAGGGGTGGGTGGCCAACACCACGCCCTGCCGCCTTTGTCTCCCCAGTGCAGATGATTAAATGAATACCTGGTACAGCACCAGGTTCTCATTTAAGGCTGAGTCGATCTAGAGGATGCCCAGGACAAGTCCAATATCCGCCACTCGGTCGGGTTTGTAGCGCGAAACACTGGCGTGACGTCACTACAGTGCTTGTACCAGGCTAGGTGTACATCGAAGCTACGTGAAGCGTGGAAGGCTTGCTGACAGGAGGTCACGGAACAGACCCAGCAGGTGCTACGGGCTAACTGTGTGAGCTGGACAGAGACAAGAGGAGCGCAGCTGGAGGTGCTGGGTGCAACGGCACTCACTGTCGGCACGCGTGAAGCACTCGTGGCAGTGGAGGCGTCCAGAGCGGAGTCTCACGTCGACTCCGGAGCCCATGGTGGTCAAACCACCTCCGCACACCCCGCACTGACGCACGCACACACAGGGTGGGTGAGTATAGGCAGCTGCATTGGTGTAAACCAGGGGTCACCAAACTACGACCCGCGGGCCGCGTCCGGCCCGCGACGTCAGTCCATCAGGCCCGCCGACGGTACTTGAATTTGGTTGATAAAACGTATGGAACACGAGACGTGATACAATTTAAATATGTTTAGAATACTAGATCTTCACGCGTGCGGAGACCTCCTGACTGCTATGTTCCTTAAATTTACTATTTTAAATTATTGTATCTAGATTTTCTTGTTTATTGTAATGTTTGCTTATTTCGCACCATCCCAAGTCCTTTCCCAGCTCGTGGTAGCTCCGCCTACGCTCTGACGTTACCATGGTTTCCATGGCAACGTCATGGCAACGTTACCATGGTTTCCATGGCAACACACACAAACACGCATCTTTCCCGCCCCTAGATTTTCCAGCTGTCAACACAGGTCCGATGCTCCAGAAATATTTATTTATTATGCGGCCCGCGCTCGTCATTCTTTCAGTTATCCGGCCCACTGTGAAAAAAGTTTGGTGAACCCCGGTGTAAACAGTGAGAGTGCCTTAGTTTGCATGTGAATGCGTTAGTGTAAGCGTGTACGAGTGGACGCGTGCGCCAAGGTGTGCACGAGGCCGTGTGTGTATACGCGAGTGCGTGGCTCCATCATAAGCCGCCCCCGCTGGACCCACCTTGAAGCACTCGAGGTGGAAGTAGACGTTGAGGGACTCGATGAACATGGCCGCCCCCTTTCCCACCGAGCTCTGGCAGCCCCAGCACTGCTTCTTGCCGCTCGCCGGCCTGCGCAGGGGGCACACGAGACGCATCACACCGGGACGCCGACCGGGACGCAGACCGGGACGCCGACCGGGACGCCGACCGGGACGCCGACCGGCACGGAAATGCGGCGGCGCACAACGAGCGCCGAGCATGTCGACGCACGGCACGTCGCTACCGTGGGCACACACCGACGCGTGGTGCCGGCACACGGTACACCAGACCCCCCCTGCCCCACTCCCTGCCAACTCTCAACCATACCCCCCCCCCTCCCGTCCTGCCCACCCCCTGTTACCTGTCAGGTGCGGGCTCTGGCGACACCGGAGATGAACGGTTCCACGAGCCCGGGCCGTCCGTCATGTCCGTACTATAGCAGCAACAACAGCACAGGCAGACACAAAGAAAAATATAAAGATCCCCCAGATAGCATTGTTGAAGCTTGTGCTATTGGCAATGACCTCAGAAGGCCAGCAGAGGGTGGGGAAGCATCACACCCAGTCCCCTTTGTCTATTCCCCCCCCCCCCCCTCTTGTCTCCTGCGTCACCGCGCGCAACTCCGTGTCTGCCTGCATTTCCCTTTGCATATACCCCTTGTGTCTATCCCCGACCTCCGACCCCCGACCCCCGACCCCCGACCCCCGACCGGTTGGTTGCGCCACTCACGGCCGCAGCCCCATGTCGTCGCACTGCCGGCGCACGTGGCTCAGCTCGCTGGCGATGGCGCTCGCGCGATCGTGCTCCATCTCGCCCATCGCCAGCGAGTGCCGGATCCAGCTGCGGTCGCCGCCCAGCGTCGACGAGCGCTTGGCACGGAACTCGACCCCCGAGCTCCTCTTCCACTCGTCATCGGCGTGGCGGGGGGCCGGCACCGCCGCCCCCCCGACCGCGGCGCCGCGCTTGCCGCGGTTGCGAATCCAGCTGGCGTCCGACGTCACCACGGCCGGCTTCTTGAGCTCTTGCAGAATGCGCTGGCGCTCCTTCTCCGCCTGCGAGGCAGTGCGCGCCTCCTCCCGCACCAGCGCCGGCTCCTTGAAGACGAGGCTTCCTCGCGCTGCGCACGGACAACGCGCACGCATGCAGAGACACACACACACGCGCAAGACGCACAGAGATTCACGCGACACGCACAGATTCACGCAACAATAACGGCCGCCATTCATCACGACTTCAAAACTGCCGTTCGCCACAACGTGGCGGTGACGTCACCACGGCGCTTGTGCCAGGCTATGTGCACGTTAAGGCCACGTGAAGTATCGAACGCCTGCTGGCAGGTCACGGGACAGACCGAGGAGCGTCTAGGAGGCGGCCATGGGCGCGCCGAGAGCTGTGAGAGAGCTGGGAGAGCGCGCGGGGAGAGCTGGGAGAGAGCGGGCAGCGGGGCCGCGACCTCCGTCTCGGACAGACAACGGCGACGTGCGATTGGTCCGCGCGAGGCACGTGACCTCCGCCGTAGGACTCGCGTCACGTCAGATTAACCTGCCTACCCCCCCCAACCCCACCACCCAACAACAACCACCACTAAGTGGCGGTGACGTCACCACGACGCCTGTGCCAGGCTATGTGCACCTTGAGGCCACGTGAAGTGTCGAACGCCCGGGGCAGGAGGTCACGGGGCAGACCCAGGTGCCACGGGTCGACTGACTGAGATGACTGGCCGATGCACCACCTGTGCCCCCTACTGTGCCAACTTGCTGTGTTTAAACCACCTGGCGCTTCGCTCGTTGTTGTGAGCGTCGCTCCTCTGCCCTCCGTTGTTGCTGAAGGGCGACTGCCTCCAACTGCCCAGTAGCAGCAGTGTCCTTTACCAGCATCCTCCAGAGGCCAATCTGAACACCACTGGTACCAGTCATCGGCAAGTCCACTCAGCTCCCCATCCTCTTGTACCACATCATCTCTTCTCTAGCCTGTGCCGCTCCCGTTTAACCCCTCTATCTGGCCGAACAAAAGCTGTTTAGGCATGCGGTGTTACATGACCCAGCCATTGACCACAAACACACTGGCACACACGCAACACGCTGGCACACACGCAACAACAACCGCCATTCACCACTAGGTGGCAGTGATGTCACCACAGTGCTTGTGCCCGGCGACGTGCACTTTGCCGCGACGTGAAGTAGCGAAGGCTTGCTGATAGGATGTCACGGGACAGACCCAGGTGCCAAGGGGTTGACTGACTGATATGACTGCGGATGCACCGGCTGCGCACCAACACGACCACAGCTGCACACGCACTCGCGCACCGCCGCCACGCCACGCAAGCGTCCAACGCGGGCGTACGGACGCCGGCGCGAGGCCAGGTCGTCGGCAGGCGATAGGCGGCCGCGGGGGGCGTGGGTGGAGGGGGGCGGCACTCGCCTCGCGCCGCCGGGTTGGGGTATTTCATCTGCTGCACGATCTGCCTCCTCTCCTCGTCCAGGACGGCCGGGTCGGGCGGCGCTGCCGCCGGCCCGGGCCCAGGCCTCGCCCCCGAGGCCGCCAGCGCAGACAGCCTCTGGGTGTTCGCTTCCTCCAGCAGTTTCTGCGCCATGTTCCCCGTGGCGCGCTGCACACTCACTGGCGATGCACGCGGTCACGCGGCCACGTCAATGGGGGGGGCGCACGGAGGATGATGCAGGGCAGTGGCTCTCAAACTTGTTTACACGCTTTCAATTCACTCACTCTGTCTCTTGTTGTTGCCGTTTAATCCTCAAATCTTGTAAGTCAATTTGAACCCGCTTCCAAACGTGGTATCGACTGGAAACTTGGTATACTTATGTCATACTGATTTAATCATAAAAAATAAAAATATATATTTAAATCACCACGGCCCCTTACGTTGTGGCAAGCTTCGGGGCCACTTCCTGGAGTCGTGGAGTTCTGCCATTACTCGTACGGTACATTTCATTAAAGCGTGTTTTAAAAAAAAAAGTATTTTTAAATATTACTTATTGGCTACTGTACCCCCTTTTTGAATTTTGTCTGATCCAACGTGGTTCTGAGAAATAAATGTACGAATAATGAACATCAATATTTTAACCAATTATCCATGTTGTGCAATACCCTGACTAGCCAATAACTGCAAGTGAATAAAAAATAAAATATTTCAATGGACGCTCTGCATACGTGACGTAATGTGCTCGCGCTCCCGAGTTACTCTTGGAAACCACATTGTTCGCGATAAATGAGTTTAGAAAGGTATTTTATATATCGTTCTAGGTTACCATATGAATTATATTGGCAGATTCATACGTGATTATTCACCAATGACTGTCATGTATGATATAATTTCACATATTTATACATCACCTCCCATACCCCCTGGGACATTGCCACGAAACCTCCAGGGGTCCCGCGTACGCCCGGTTTAGAACCACTGATCTCGGGTGAGTGGTGGTGGTAATGGTGAGGATATCGGATGAGTAGCGACGATGCGACAAGGGGATCTCGGTGAGCGACGATGCGGTGAAGACGTCAGCATACCGGGCTTGTGCTGGGGCCCCGCGTCGCTCTCCGTGTGGACCCGCGTCCACGCGCGAGCCGAACCCCTGACGGACACAAAGACACAACCGGCACCACCACCGCCATCATCCACCACGAGCGGTTATTTACTTCGTCCATCGCTAGAATCTCGACTCGTTACGCGGTGCCGCCGCACAGGGTCCACTCGCTCTCCGAGAGAGAGAGGGGGGACGACTCAGAGGCACCAGGAGAAGGAAACGCAGATGAGCAGGGGGGAAGCCGGCAGCAGCCACGCGGCGAGTCAGCACAAAGTTTATGCCCAAGCTCTGCGGTCCCCTATGTATTAAGGTGTTAGCGGAATCCGGAGCACCCCGAAAACACTCACGCGTGCGAGGAAACACTCCAGATGGGACAGGCGGAGGTCCCCACATTTCAGTCATTCAAATTTGCTTATTTAACACTCAATCCGTCAAATACGGTTCAACGCGATGGGCTGAAGCCCAACATTGCTCTCGAGAGAACCCGGATTCATCGTGGGCGCCTGAAACCTGGACGGGAACGCCAGGGCGTCGGCGGTGCCGGCTCGGCACTTCGACCATCCTGCCGGGGGGGGGCCTCCTTGGCCACCGCGCTTCCGAGTGCCGCCGAGCCTGCGAGAAACGCAACCCCCCCCCCCCCACGGTGGCGACACGACGGCCGGCTCCTCACCTGGCGCCGGCGGTCGCCGTGACGGCGGCCTGCTCCTCCTGCCGTCGCCGCTCCTTCTCCATCTCCGCCTTCTTCTCCTCCTTCTGCTCCTCCTCTCGTCTCTTCCTCGCCGCCGCCTTCTTCTCCTCCTCCTGCTTCCTGCTTTCCTCCTCCTCGGCCGCCGCCGCTCGTCTGCGCGCCTCCTCGATCGCTCGCTGGCGGCGTTGCTCCTGTTCCTGCTCCAGACGGAGCCGACCCTGCTCCAATTGGCGCTTCCTCAGCTCCTCCTCCTGTCGCCTTCGCTCCTCCTCATTTACCTGCTGCTGCCTGCGTGCTTCCTCCTCCTGCCTACGCTCTTCCTCATCATCATCATCCTCCTCCTCTTCCCCCTGCCTGTGCTCCTCCTCCCCCTGCCACCCGCGCTCCTCCTGCTCTCTCTTCTGCCTGTGCTCCTCCTCCTCCTCCCGCTTGCGCTCCTCCTCCTCGCGCTTGCGCTCCTCCTGCTCTCTCTTCCGAATGCGCTCCTCTTCCTGCCGCCTGCGCTCGGTCTCCATGGCAGCCAGCCTCAGATCCTCGGGGCTCGGCTCAATGGTGCGGGCGCGCGGGGCGGGGACGGGCGGCGTCTGGCTCCACAGTGGGACCTTCGCACACACAGACAAAGGACCCCCCCCGTGTAGCCTCCACAGATTTTTGGGTCAAGTGCTGTTCGCGGGCACCTATTAAGGGCACCACCGCACACGAGGGAGGTGTGACCAGTGCCACGCCCGGTCACCTTTGTCTTTGCGGTGCTGATTGTTTACACACCGCACCTAGGGACTTCTTTTAAGGTCAAGGAGGCCCAGTTCATATCCATACACCAGTGATGTTGGCCATGAGCGGGAATCGAACTTGAGTCGTTGGGTTTGTACCGAAATGCGTGAACCAATGCGCCGTCACGGCACGGAGAATCCCTACGGAAATCTCAGAGCGGCGCGACTCTCAATGTTCGAGAACGGCCCGCCAAAGCGGATATCACAGAGCCACCTCCGAGCCCCCTTCTGCAAGCGACCTCTGGGGGTCCACGCACGGCAGAGGGCGGCACTACTGCACTCGCCCCTGCCCTACGAGAGCAGCGCTCGTCGCACGAACCGTCGATCCCGCGTCGTCGTGCCCACGCGACTCACCGGCTGCAGCGGCGGGGGCAGCTCGGCGCTCTCCACTGCAAGAGGCGACAAGAGGGCAGGGCGCGGTCGTTAGGGGTCGCGTCCGAGACGCGGGGCACGCGCGCGCGACGGGCGTCAAGCGAAGCGCGACGAGGGGCGAGCGGCGGCGCCAGCGATGCAAATGGGCGAGCCGCGGAGCGTCGAGGGGCGGCCGCCGAGAGAGGAACACAGCCGGTGCGGCGGCGCCATCCAGCAGCGGAGCCATCCAGCAGCGGAGCGTGCAGAATCATTAGCAGCAGCGGTTTCAGAGTTAATAGCACCATCAGCAGCAGCGGCACCAGTAGCAGCATCAGGCAATTCTTGTGCATTGCAGCAGTGGACAGATCTGTTGAGATTGCGAGGGATCCAGAGAGGTCAAAGGTGAACAGAGGTTCCAGGCTGTGTGAAGGAGTTCAGCGTGGGGGTGTAGGGGGATGGTGAGGGGAAGAGGGGTGGGGGATCACCTGGGAGTCCGAAAAATTGGGAGCGTCTCATTTGGTTCTTGCGGCTAATGGACACGAAGTCGAGACTGGAGCCACCTGGGGGTGCAGGTGAGGAGACACACCTGAGAAGGCGGCCAGCGTGCGTGCCTATCCGTGTGTGCGTGTAGCCATGTGTCCGTGTGTGTGTGTGTATGTGTACGCGGGGTGCATGCCAGCACATACGCTGTGGGCACCTATCTCTTGCCGTTCGACTCTTCCCACAGTGCCCGCGAATCAACGAGTGACAGAATGAATGGCGGAACAAACATTTCGCGAAACGCATCACAGAATGAGGAAATTAATTCATTGGAGAATTACTGAGAGAATTAATCGCGTAACTCACCGTTGCTCCCCGCTTCTCCCTGCGGATCTTTCTCCACACACCCGTCGTCCCAGAGGGACGTGGAAACCGGGGCCTGCGGGAGTCGTCACGGCAAATCGTCACGTTGGCACGTCGTCACGTCACGTCGTCACGCCACGGCTCATCATCACACAACATTGTCCCGGCATGGCCGACACCAAGCGTGCAGCTTATACTCCGATGAAGTCAGATGACACAATCAGTGACGTTCAGCAAAATTAATGAATGAGAGATTGAATGTCCCCACTCACCACCACCCCTTCCACGACTCCCATCACCACCCCAAACCAGCGAAACAGAAAGAGGCAGGGCCTAAATGAGGAGTAGCAGGGCCCAAAAAGGCACAAAGCCAAGAGAAGAAGAGGAGGAGATGATGTGGCCTGATCAGGCAGGGGTGGGGACCAACGAATAAGGGGGCGGAGTATAAAGAGGTGGGGGCGGGGCCTACAGCTGACGCTGAGAATCCTAACACGTGCAGCAAAGCCCGAGTGCGGCGGGGGCAGGCCACAGGCCGACTGGTAATTAATTCATGAATTGAAGAGGACCGTACTGCTTCCTCGCCGGCACTGCATGACCTCACCTGAGGGGGGGGAGCGGCGGTGAACACGGCGTGGTGCGGCGTCTGCGCGAGCTGCACCAGCGGCTCGATCTCCGCGGGGGGCGCCTGTGGGGGGACACGGAGACACCGCGGCGCAGTCAAGCGGGGCCAGCCTCCCGCCACGTCCGCTAGCGGTCGATCTTACCCCCCCCCTCCCCCCCACACCTCTCTCTCTCCCACTTTCCGGACGTTCGTTCCAAATTGGCGCGGCGTGGCGCTCGTACCTTGGTGGGGGGGCGAACGGAGGCCTGCGCCGCCCTCTCCGACTCCGTGTCGCTGAGCTCCTCGCTGCTCCCCCACCGATCCTGGGCGTCCCCTCGTGAGTCCGAGTGAGACAGCGACCCCGTGACCCCGGGACCATCGACGGAGGACCCTGCCTTAAAGAGGTTCTCCGCCTGTCGGGGTCGGGGGGTGGGCCCAGCGACACGACGGGTAAGAAGTGAAAGGTCACGACCTCCCAGACCCACCGTTCACCTGCGTGGGGAGGCACGCGTCGAGCAGTGCACTGACCAAGGGGCTGCGCTTAAACAACAATTCGATCATTGTCGGCTGCCGTGAACCAGGGTTGCTGAACGGCAATCGTGAACGGGAATCGATCAGCCGCTAACCGTGTTCGAGATCGATGATCGATTCCAAAAGTCCGGAACCGGCGGGTCGCGGGGGCCGCCGGGACCCCGGTTCGAGCCCTCACCTTGTAGGTGCTCGGTAGGGACTGGAGGCTGCGGGGCGCGGCGCTGAAGGGGCACGGGCCGGTGCTGGGGAGCACGCGGACGCCCTGGACACCGGGGCGGACTCCCACGACGCGCTGCGCGACGCCGGCACCCCACGGCTGAGGGCCCGCCGCGGGGCCCCAGCGAGCAGCAGCGCCAGCGCCGACGGAAGCCGCGGGACTCGGCTCCGCCGCACGGCCACCGTCGTCGTCGGCCGGAGCGACGGGGCCCGGCGCGGAGGAGGGGAAAACGGCAGCGGGAGCCGAGCCGCTCTCGTGGACGATCTTCGTCTCCGAAACGCGGATCGGGCGATGCGGAGGCTTCTCAAAGGAGGCGTCCTCTGGCGCGAGGACGCCCGGAGTAGCGGCGGTGGCGTTGGCGAAGGAGCGTGGAGGGGCGGGTTCCTCGGGTCTCGGAACCTCGGGGCCCCGAGCGAGGGGAGCGCGCGGGGGGCCGACGGGCCCCGGCGGGGCAGCGTCCCCGTCGCTATCGTCGTCGTTGCTATCGGGCGGCGCCGGCGGCGACGGCAATTCCTTCTCCGCGACGATTCTGCGCGGAGGGGCGACCGGCGGCTCGGGAGAGGCTCGTGCCACCGGGCGGAGGGCCGCCGGGGGGTCGGAGAGGCCGCTCGACGGAGCTCTGCCGGAGGAGGAGGAGCGGACGCTGCTGTCGACGTTGTCGTGCGGAGAGGAGAAGACGTCGTCCGTGCCGTGGAGCTGATCGCCGTAGCCGTTCTCGCGGTCGCGCGCGCGGTCCTCCCTGCCACCGGCACGCCAGGGGGTGCGGGGAGGGGGGAGGAGATGGGGGAGTGGGTGACTGGGGAGACAAAGGTGGCTGGGCATGGTGCTGGCCGCACGTGCCCCAACATGTCTGTGGACGGTGCGTTTGTGTGCGTGTGGTGCGATCCCCGCGGTGTGACGTCACACGGCCCCCTGTGACCCCGCGACCCCGAGGTAACGCCGTGTCACACGACCACGCCCCCCCCCCCTCACCTGTTGTGCATCATCTGGGCGTAGGTACGGATCTCTCGGGCGGCGGTGGCCGGGCCCTCGGCCTCCGAGGCCGTGCTCAGCCGTTTGAGGCTGCTCGAGGTGCTGCGGCGCCGGTTCTTCCAGCGAGCTAGATCCTGCCAGCGGCAAAAACGCAAATGAAGGGAGCGATCCCCCGTGTAGCCCACACAGGCTGTTAGGGCAAGTGCTGTTAGCGAGCACCTTTGAAGGCCGCCTTTGCCACCATAGTGCTGATGTTTATACACCGTACCAGGTACTCATTTAAGGCTGAGTCGACCTCGGGGAGGTCCTTGACCGGTTCAAATATTCGCCACTGGTGTTGGCTGTGAGCAGGCATGGAACTCGACCTCTAAACGAGGCGATTAAATCGCTCCATCTCCGCGGCAGACGTACTGTGTGGTGTGCACAGAACTCACATCCTGCCACTGCTCCTCCTGCTCCTTGCCCTCCCCGCGGATCTTCTGCAGCTCCTCGTAGTGGAGCAGGATGCTGGAGCGAGTCGCTCCTTCTCCGGCCACATTGGTCAGGCTCTTGGTCCTGCGGGGCACGAGAGCCGTGAGCAGCGTCCGGCAAAAAACCACGGGCGCAGCCACGGCGAGGATTCTCAGTGCTCCCAAAACACCCGGCATGACCGAAGCAAGCATCAGCCAGCTCTCAGAAAAGGCAAAGAGCCCCCGTGTAGACTCCACAGGCTGTTAGGGCAAGTGCCGTTAGCGAGTAGTACGTATAAAAGACCGGCCACGGCACGTGAGAGGGGGCAGCCACCATTTCCCCGCCCGGTGCCGATGTTCATGCACAGCAAAACAGGTGCTCATTGGAGGCCGAGTCGACCTAGGGGCAGGGCCCAAGTCCGGTTCTGATGCTCATCTAAAGACTCGGGTCCTTTAGTTAGCGCGGCGCGCCAACTACGGTGCCACCCGCTCCGCCCAGCACCACCTCTCCCTAGGACACGGAGCGATACGCTGTGGCGCCCAGCAGCCCCAGCACCGCCGCCCTGCAGCGGTGGGGCACAGTGCTTTTGCGTGGCTGGCAAGGGCCCTGGTGCAAGCAATGGAATGGGGGACCTCTGTCCAGTTTCGTACCCCTCTCTTCGCAGCTCAGGGCCTGAGCTCTGCCTGCCCATGAGAACCCCGAGCAGTTGAACTGCCTCCATACTCGTTAGCCTCACCACCGATCACTCAGCTCGCTAGCCCGTCTAGAACACCACACTCGGCTCTCTAGCCCGTCTAGAACACCACACTCGGCTCTCTAACCCGTCTAGAACACCACACCCAGCTCTCTAGCCCGTCTAGAACACCACACCCAGCTCTGTCACCCTCCTGGAGCACCATGCATTTACATCTCGGACACCGGTGCAAGCAATGCGAGTCAATATCCCCGCTCCTCCTCACCTGGGCCACTCTGGCTCAACCCCCCCACCCCCAACCAGTCCCCGGTGCAGTTGCACCACCTGCACACCTGCTAGCTACACCACTGGTGCCACCGGTGCTCTGCGGCTAAACGAGAGAAGCAGTCGCTGAGCAGAGAAGCGAAACCTTGGGGGAAGCTGCGTTAGTTCACGACACCACATGCGGGGTGGGGGGCAGTGCGGGGTGGGGGGGGGGGGGCACAGCACCCGGCGGCGGTGGGCTGTGCGAGTCCTGCGGGCGAGGGGTTAAGGGGTTAAAACCACGAGGCGCGTGCAGCGGTGCCCAGCACCAGCAGGGGGAGGCTCAGCCCGGCATGGGGGAGGAAAGGACGGCGAGAGACACCGGCGTCCCGAAGCGGCGCGGCCATGCGCGCACGCGTGCACGTTGCACGCGCGGGAAGGACGCATCACTCACCCGTCTGGATCCACCTCGGTGGACTCCGATTGCTCCCTACGGGGGACGACATTGGACAACACGGCACTCGGCTCAGGGTCTGCGTGCGGTCGAACTCTCTAAAGGCGCCGAGCCGAGCTCGCGGAGTGGCCGGGACGTCGGATAGCCGGAGAGAACGTCGCTCGACGGTGCCCGACTATACGGCCCTGACGGTCCCGAAAACCGACGATTCCAACAGTCCCGATGATCCCGACGATCCCGACGATCCGGACGAATCCCATGGCGAACCGAGGCAGGATCCCCGGTGTGCACCTGGGTACGCGTGGTGATAAAGCTGCAGCCCTACTACTGCTTGCCGGCACGCACTGCTGGCGGGAGGTGCCTCCACGAGAGGGAGCTCTCGAGAACCCCTCCGGAGAACGTGTTTGGCCTACTCTTCCATGCTGAACGGACGTCTCGTAAGAAACGGGGGGGGGGGGCACCCACACTTATATATTTTTAAAATTATTTTTATAATAATTTTAGCGATAACATTTGTTTACGCAGAAAGCCTCACCGAGTCTCACGACACTTTTCTAGTAGGGTCCTGCTGGGGGTTTTTTTGCAGTACGAGGCGATGCTGCCGCTGTGTGTGCGATCCAAAATGAGAGATTTGCCGTTGATTTTCTTTTTTGCGCATTGGGATGTTTTGGCCGATGTGTGCGATTCTATCCATGGGAGGAAATTGGAGGACCCGGAGGAAAATCGTGCAGAACAGGGGGAGGAGAGAACACACAAACTGCGCACAGATAGGAGCCCGTGTCGGAAATCGAACCCAGGAGCTTCTTGCTGCGAGGCGCGAGTGTCGCCACGGCGCCGCCAACCACTACCATGACGCAGCTGCCTCTAAGGCACACCGGGAGTCACCTCTCCATCTCAACCCTGGAACGCCGCGTGGACCCCTCACTCCGGCCGTGGGCATTCACAGCCACCGGCCACTCACAGTTGTGATGGATCCACCCTCCTCCTTTCCCCCCCCACTTTGGGACTCCACGACGCTGCTGCTGCCATTGACGGGTGATGACAGCGCGAGTGATGCCGATGATGCTCTTTGCTGACAACGAAACATTCGGCGAAATAAATAATCCCGGAGAGTCTCAAGTACTCCCCCGCCACCCCCCCCCCCCCCCCACCGTGGCGTCAGCAGCTCAATCACCACGTTCGCCTTGGCACGACGCCTCCCCCACCCCCATACCGCTCGTCCTACGCCCAACAGCGCCCCCCCCCCCACACAGCGCCCCCCCACACAGCCCCCCCCCCCCCCCACACAGCACCCCCCCGGCACACAGGGGCCTCCTCACACGCACGGCGCAGGCTCCGGGGTATCCACGTGGATCCTCTCGGCGAACAGCAGCAACCCCTCAACGGGGCCCTCCACGTGGCCCTGCTGCTGCTGCCGCTGCCTGTGGACGACGACGGCGGCGCCCCCCTCTCGTCGCGGCCCCGCGGCCCCCGTGGGGTGGCGGTGGTCCTGGGCCTGGCGGGCCGCGGGATTCGGCAGGAAGCGGTTGAAGGCCATGGCTGGGCGCGCCACGGGAAGCGAGGCGGCGGTGCGCCGCGCCGTCATGTCGTCCCTGCGCACGTCAGGCACCCTCTCCTCCTCCCCCTCGTCGTCGTCGCCGCCGCCGCCGCCCTCGTCGTCGTCGCGAGCTGGGCTCAGGAACGCGTTCTCTCTGCGAGTGAGGATTTTCGGGGAGGGGAGGGCGCCGTCGGGCGGCTGGGGGGTCGGCCCCCACGTTGGGGAGGGGCCCAGGGGGGGACTGCAGCAGGTATGGACAGAGCAGGGGGAGCAACAGGCAGAGGGGAGGAGAAGGCAGGTGAGAGAGAGAGAGGAGCCGCAACAGCGGTGGAGGCTGTGTGGCCTCCTCCTCCTCCTCCAGCAGGAGGAGGAGGAGGCCACCCCCGGTGGGTGAGAGGTCAAGTTTGAAGAGCAGAGCGATCCGCCAGGCCCGAGCGGTGGGCACCAAGCCCAGAGCGCGAGGGCCCAGGGGACAAAGCCGAGTGGCCACGGGGGGTGGCCCTGAGAATTAGACCCCTCACGGGGGAAGGGAGCAAGGTGCTTGGTTTGCGAGTTTGAGTGACAGTGGGCAGATAGCCAGGAGGAGCGGAGTCTCTTCTGAGCGACCAGGAGAGTGAACCGTGGCTTTCTCAAGTTGGGGCCTCACTGGGGCCGCTGGCAGCTCGTCGTGCGGGCGCTTGCACCCTCCTCCCTCGGGGCGCCCAAGCGCAGGCTCCCTGCCCACCTGCTACGGGATAGCCGCTGCCGCTGCTGCTGCTGCTGCTGCTGCCGCGAGGCGCCGTGTCGAGACGCCCGCACGACGGCGTCCCAGCGTCGCGCGTCGCGCTCCGTGCAGGGCGTCGGCAGGAAGCTGCGGGGCGAGGCGGCCGCGGGGCCCCGCACCCCAAGGGCTCGCCGGGTCGCCAGGTCGTCGCGCTCCACGTCGGGGAAGCGGCGGTCGTCCTCCTCCTCCTCCTCCTCGTCGCCGTCGGAGCCGCCGTCGGCGCCGCTCAGGAAGGGGTTGTCCCTGCGCGTGATGATGTCGGGCGAGCGCGCCCCCTCGTGCTCCCCGTTCTCCTCCGTGCTGCGCCGGCCGCCGTCAGGGAGGGCACAAACGCCCGGACCGTCATCTTCGGCGGCGGCGGCGGCGGCCGTGTGGACCCGCCGGTGCTTTAGTGGGAGTTAGTGTCACCGCAATCTTCGCTAGGAGGAGGTTAGTGGCGCCAGTGGCGGTGATCGCCGGCGTTAGGCGAGGGCGGAGTTGAGGACGAGGAGCGTGCCCTCCGATTGCTCTCCCCCCCCCCCCCCACACAAACCCGCGCTCAAAACGCTGGCAGGCGGGCGGCACATTCCCACGGGCCTGCGGGGAACCCCTCAAACCCCCGACCCCTGCTCGTACCTCCGCTGCTGGGGACCCCTGAACGGGGTCGTTTGGTCGTCGCCGGGGCCGTTACCCCACCGGCCCGTGGGACTGACTGGCGCCTCGCTGGCACCGCGACCATGCGGGGGAAGGGGGCAGGCAGGAGGGTGCAGGCGGGGTTGGGGGGGGGAGCCACTCCTCCGAACCTTCCCATCGTCCATGGCTGCAGCGCCGGCGTAGGGAACCACGGCGGCCGCTGTGCCGCGACGGTGCCTGCGGGGCCCGGTGGCGGCGAGGGGGAGGGCGGCGGCGAAGACGGCACCGGGGCCGTGCCGCAGACGCCCCGCGTCACGCTGTACCAGCCGGAGCGCTCGCTCCCGTCGGACTCCGACCCCGACCCAGACCCCGACCTCTCGGGTGCCGAGGTCACCGTCTCGGGGTCGCTGAAGGTCACGCACTTACCCGTGCGCCGGCGCGGGCGCTCCTCCTCCGCGGTGTCATCGTCGTCGGGTCTGTTCGGGCCGAGCGCACGACGCTCACCGTCGCGCCACGCTACACCCCGACGACTCCAGTTCTGCTGAGGGCCCCCAAAATACCCCCCCGCCCCCCCAAGGGAAATAATCCCCAACCCAAACGGCCCCAAAAAGCCCAAATTCTGACACCCGAGCATCTCCAGAAAATCCCAAAATCATGGGAATCTTGAATAACCTCAAACCCACTCCACCACGAATCAGAACGCTCTCCCGCACCCAGCCCCACTCTCCAACACACGCGCGTACAAACACACATGCATGCACGCACATGCATGCGCACAACAACAACGGCCGTCGTTCGCCACAAAGAGGCGGCGATGCACACACGGTGCCTGTGCCAGGCTAGGTACACTTTGAGGCCACGCGAAGTGTCAAAAGGCTCGCTGGCAGGAGGTCACGGCACAGACCCAGGTGTTATGACACACGCACGCGCCGACTCGGCTTCGGACAGTAACAGCGAAACGCAGGCGGTGGGCGGCCACGGTTGGCGGTGGCAGCGGCGGTGGCGGCGCTACCTGTAGAGGCCGCCGTCGCTGGTGACGGACAGTGAACGGCCGACGCTGTCGGTGTCGTCGGGGCCCTGCAGGGCGAGGCTGCTGGCCCAGCTGCGCCGCGCCACCTCGTTGCGCTCCCCGCGCTTGCGCCGCAGCGGAGCCGGGAGGTGCGCCGACACGACCAGGGCGCCCGTGGCCGGCGCCGACGCCTGGTGGCGCCCTGGCAGGAACTGGTTGAAAGCGGCGGGCGGCGTCTTGGGCTCGACGGCCGTGGAGACGCGGCGCAGCGACATGTCGTCCCGGCCGGAGGCGCGGCGGCGCCCAGCGCCCTCGCTCTCCGCGTCGCTGCCCTGGTAGCCTGGGGTGGGCGAGGCAGCGTGGTCATCGTCAGTGGCACAAGGAGCAGCAGCAGCACAATCGTGAACATCAGCATCACTTGCGCCATCATCACTCATCAATAGCAGCAGCATCGTGGCCTCTAAAAGGAGGCCCAAGGTGGGGGGGGGGGAGGGGAGGGCTGGTGGGATCCGTTACAACCTTGAGAGATGTTGGGCAAAAGTTCACTCTCATGGTCACACACAAGGACTCTCAACATCGTCATCAGCATCAGCAGCATCAGCAGCATCAGCAGCATCACCCTAATCCACCATAGCAGCGTTGTCATCAGTAGCATCGTTAATCGTTATTGCCTTCATCATCGCCATCGTCAAAATTAACAGCCAATTAGATGGACACCCGAGTGACACGGCGATGGCATCCCCACCTTCTCCGCCGTCCCTGGGCGCGTCGGGAGAGAGCGGCCGGGAGCCGGCGGAGCCGAGGGAGCCGAGGGAGTCGAGGGAGTCGAGGGAGTCGTCGCGTACGTGCGAGGGCGGAGAGAGCGAGGCGCTGCGCTCCGAGTCACAGCTCTCCAGGTACCCGCTGTCACGCCCGCCGCGCCACCCACCGGCCCCCTCGCCCGCCTCCTCCGCCTGCGGCCACACGGAGATAGGATGACGGTGGCTCGCACGGCGGCACGGCGACTCGCGGCATCCCGCACGGTCACACGGCATCTCGCACGGTGACGGCCCGGCCTTTGCAGACGATGACTCGGTGGGAAAAATGAATGGCGACATCCACGCCCGTTCACCGCCGACGGCTCGACAAGAGATGTGTTCAGAAATAGGGACGCGTTCACAACAATGTGACGGCCACACATAGACGGGTATTTGGAGAACGAACCAAAATACTTTACCGGAAGGGGAGTCGGACGGGGGGAGGCCACAGAGACGCTTTATAAATAGAGCCGCGCGACACTTGTGATCGTAGCGCGACACTTGTGATCGTAGTGCGACACTTGTGATCGTAGCGCGACACTTGTGATCGTAGCGCGACACTTGTGATCGTAGCGCGACACTTGTGATCGTAGCGCGACACTTGTGATCGTAGCGCGACACTTGTGATCGTAGACACCTGTGATCGTAGCGCGACACTTGTGATCGTAGCGCGACACTTGTGATCGTACCGCGACACGTGATCGCAGCGCGACACTTGTGATCGCAGCGCGACACTTGTGATCGTAGCGGGACAGTTGTGATCGTAGCGCGACACTTGTGATCGTAGCGCGACACTTGTGATTGTAGACACCTGTGATCGTAGCGCGACACTTGTGATCGTAGCGCGACACTTGTGATCGTACCGCGACACGTGATCGCAGCGCGACACTTGTGATCGTAGCACGACACTTGTGATCGTAGACACCTGTGATCGTAGCGCGACACTTGTGATCGCAACGCGACACTTGTGATCGCAGCGCGACACTTGTGATCGTAGCGCGACACTTGTGATCGTAGCGCGACACTTGTGATCGTAGCGCGACACTTGTGATTGTAGACACCTGTGATCGTAGCGCGACACTTGTGATCGTAGCGCGACACTTGTGATCGTAGCGCGACACTTGTGATTGTAGACACCTGTGATCGTAGCGCGACACTTGTGATCGTAGCGCGACACTTGTGATCGTACCGCGACACGTGATCGCAGCGCGACACTTGTGATCGTAGCACGACACTTGTGATCGTAGACACCTGTGATCGTAGCGCGACACTTGTGATCGCAACGCGACACTTGTGATCGCAGCGCGACACTTGTGATCGTAGCGCGACACTTGTGATCGTAGCGCGACACTTGTGATCGTAGCGCGACACTTGTGATTGTAGACACCTGTGATCGTAGCGCGACACTTGTGATCGTAGCGCGACACTTGTGATCGTACCGCGGCACGTGATCGCAGCGCGACACTTGTGATCGCAGCGCGACACTTGTGATTGTAGACACCTGTGATCGTAGCGCGACACTTGTGATCGTAGCGCGACACTTGTGATCGTACCGCGACACGTGATCGCAGCGCGACACTTGTGATCGCAGCGCGACACTTGTGATCGTAGCACGACACTTGTGATCGTAGACACCTGTGATCGTAGCGCGACACTTGTGATCGCAGCGCGACACTTGTGATCGTAGCACAACACTTGTGATCGTAGACACCTGTGATCGTAGCGCGACACTTGTGATCGCAACGCGACACTTGTGATCGCAGCGCGACACTTGTGATCGCAGCGCGACACTTGTGATCACAATGCGACACTTGTGATCGCAGCGCGACACCTGTGATCGCAGCGCGACACCTGTGATCGCAGCGCGACACTTGTGATCGTAGACACTTGTGATCGCAGCGCGACACTTGTGATCGTAGACACTTGTGATCGCAGCGCGACACTTGTGATCGTAGACACTTGTGATCGTAGACATTTATGATCGTAGCGCGACATTTATGATCGTAGCGCGACACTTTGGGGCCCCGTGGTGGGCACCTGACAAAAGCATAGCAGCAGGGCCAGCTGTTGTACTGCACTTCCACGGCCCCACATCGCAGAGCCGCACCGACCAGCACGGTTAAGAGCGGTCAAACAACAGCCACGAACCACACGGCATCGTGGTTGGGGGGGGTGGGGGACGAGGGGGGGAGACTCTCAGTCAGCAGTGGATAACCGGTGATGATGAAGATGACAAGGCCGACGATTGTAATGCTGCGTTGTGACGAAGGACGCACCTTGCCGTGTGCCCCGCTGCCGGAGAGGACCCCGTCGAAGGCCTGCAGGCCCAGCGCAGGGCCCTGGTAGTCGCGAGAGGTCTGCGCCGCCCGACCCAGCCAGTAGAGGGTGATCAGCACCTGAGAGAGAGAGGGAAGGGGACAGTGATATGATAACAATGAAAGTTACTCATCCGAAGGTCCTTTTTGCAGGAGGGTCCTGCTTTGGGACTTTTGGCTAACACCGGTTATACATCGCACGGTGATTTATAGCACTCACACCGAGGAGTAGACCGGGGGCAGAACATGCACGTGCAGACGCCACGCAGAAAGGCACCCCAGTCGGGAACTGAACCCAGGTTCCTTGTTGCTGTGCGGTGCGTGTGTGAGAAAGAGTGTTTGATGAGGTGTGTGTGAGGAGTTGTGTGTCTGCTGAGGTGTGTGTGTGATGAAGTGTGTGTGTGTTAGACGAGGTTTGTGTGTGTTAGTCGAGGTGTGTGTGTGTGTTAGTCGAGGTGTGTGTTAGACGAGGTGTGTGTGTGTGTGTTAGACGAGGTGTGTGTGTGTTAGACGAGGTGTGTGTGTGTTAGACGAGGTGTGTGTGTGTGTGTGTTAGACGAGGTGTGTGTGTTAGACGAGGTGTGTGTGAGACGAGGTGCGAGTGTGCTCACATTTTTCAGGCGTCTGTCGGTCTCCGTTTCACTGCAAGACACGGACACGAGACGCGGTCAGAGACGCGTGGATACACGTGGGAACAAAGATCCCCCCATGGCCCTGCACGCTGTCGGGTTAAGTGCTGTTAGCGAGCACCTATTAAGGTTGCCATGGCACTGCAGGTGGCGGCGTGGTCGGCTCCATGCCTGGCCACATTTTGTCTCCCCACTACTATGTTTACACGCAAGCACGCAGAGAACCGTAGGTACACAGTGACAAAGTGACACATCGAGCACACAAGGGCCTGGGGAAAAAAAACAGTGACACACAGGGACACAACAACAACAACCGCCATTCGCCACTAAGTGGCGGTGACGTCACCACGACGCTTGTGCCAGGCCATGTGCACCTTGAGGCCACGTGGAGTGTCGAACGCCCGCTGGCAGGTCACGGGGCAGACCCAGGTGCCACGGGTCGACTGACTGAGATGACTGGCTGATGCACCACCTGTGCCCCCTACTGTGCCAACCTGCTGTGCTTTAGTCACCCGGCGCTCCGCTCGTTGTTGTGAGCGTCGCTCCTCTACCCTCCATTGTTGTTGGAGGGCGACTGCCTCCAACTGCCCAGTAGCGTCCTTCACGAGCCTCCTCCACAGAGGCCGATCTTGACACCGCTGGTACCAGTCATCGGCAAGTCCACTCAGCTCCACGTCCTCCTGTACCACATCACTCCATCTCTTCTCTAGCCCGTGCCGCGCCCGTTTAGCCCCCTCGATCCAGCCGAATAAAAGCTGTTTTGGCATGTGGTGGCTGGGCATGCGGGCTACATGACCCAGCCAACGCAGCCTTTCCTGCCAGAGGAGCTCACCGATGGGACCGTGCCCAGATTTTTCAAGGATTTGTGAGCTCCTCACACAATCCAGCCTGGTTAAACCCAGGATGGATAGTAGGCAGGCCAGCCTAAATGTTTCTAACTGGCGAAGATGTTCCATTAGGGGGGGTCCACGTTTCGCAAGCGTAGAGAAGGGAGGGAATGACCGTGGCTGAGAAGACCTGAAGCTTAGTGCGGAGCGACAGACCAGGTAGCTTCCACACGGCGTTACGCAACCGATGAAAAGATATTGCCGCTTGACTGATTCGGAGTGAGACCTCTGCTGTTAAACTGGATCCGGTCATAAGCACACTGCCCAGGTATGGGAAACTCTCCACTCTCTCCACAACTGCCCCATCACCGATTGGGAGTTGTGGGGGTGGAGTGTCCGATGGTACAAAATACCCAGGCAGGTGCTTAGTTTTGGTGGGGCTGATGGTAAGACACAGGGACACATGCACACACACAGCACAGTAGGACAAATAACACAGACACACAACACAGAAACATAAATACAACACAAGGACACACACGCACCACAGGCAGCCGTGCCGTCAGTCACACTTTCGTAATACACTGTGCATATACGTACTGTCGATGATAGTTGACGTTTACGGGAGGTGGCCCTTCACCATAGCAAAGAAATTATCTCAAAAAGCGTAATTTTTTTATTAGCAGCGTCTGGTGGCAAGCCACATGGCACCGTAACGTCTAGTGCTCGTGACCGCTAAGCGGACTCCCCCTTATCTCCAGCTCGCTCTCCTCTCTCTCGCCAATCTCGATCTATCCGTCACAGCTCGGCCGTATCTCTCAGCGGGCCACAATTCCCGCGGGACAATCATCCGACCCCTACGCAGGTCGTCAGGTGAAGACCGCGGGCCCCCGAATCGCATATCACAATCGTGTCTCGCGCACGACTCGAAGGCGCGTGTCGCGAGTGTATACGTGCACTTTGGTTTTTACTTAACCCTTCATTATTCACTACGTCTCTGTGGCCTCCCTATTATCCATGTGCTGTAAAGAAGGGCCATTGCCCGAAACGTCACCCATTATATATTTACCCTTTTAAGGTCACGCACGGTTTCCATTATTTATTCGTGCTCATTTACGTCTCCGGGGATAAATGGTGGAAACGAAATCTCTGCAGACGCGATGGTGACTTTGCGACCGACACACAGCCGACCTGGCGTGACCCCCCCCCCCCCATGGCGTGGACACGCGGCCCCGGTCATAGCATCATGGGGTCACGGACGCAGGGTCACAGCGTCTCGGGGGAGGGGAGACAGGAGGAGACGAGCGGGGGTGAGACGCCTCCGCCTGTGTCCCCGCAAGAGAGGACGGCCAAAGAGGGGTCCCCTCGGGTTTGACGAGACGCAGAGGATTGTCAGACCGAAGATTGCCTGTGGAGAAGACCGCTAAGAGAGACGGAAGCACGGGAGTAGTAGTGCCTCAAGTAGACATCTCAGGGAGAGGAAACACGGGTGGAGGAAAAACCGAGATCGTTGATTGGAAGACGGCTAAATGAGACGACCAGCGATGCATCGTTATTACTATTCCACGTGTTCACCCAAGTGAGTAATTTGCAGGTTATTTTTCATCCTTGGGTTGTTTGGCCAATACCGGTGACATTCATTGCATGTGTTGTAGCTATGGGGGGAGGGGGGGGGAAACCGGAGAAACCCATGCAGAGCAGGGGGTAGAAACATAAAAACTCCACGTGTAAATGTGCCCGAGACAGGATTCAAACCCAGGCACCTCTCGCTGCTAGGCAGCAGCATCGCCACTCTGCCACCACCCTGCCGCCCATTAACGCACACAGGTAGAGTGTCAGGTAGAGTGCCAGGTAGAGTGTCAGGTAGAGTGTCAGGTAGAGCAGGGGTCCCCAACCCCCGGGCCGCGGACCGGTTTCGGTCCGTGGCTTGTTAGGAACCGTGCCTCACAGCAGGAGGCGAGGGCGGTGAGTCCGCTCGTGGCCCGCCCCATTATTTTATTATTCACCACTTCCGTCCGCGCCTCTTTCCCGCACTGCGCACTTGTCTCAGTGACAGTTTTTGGTAAACCCACAAGCTGACCCCTAGCTTCTTTGAAAAGGGGGAAAGACCCAATGATGAACCCCCCCCACCCACCGGTCCGTGAAAAAATTATCTTCCATGAAACCGGTCCCTGGTGCCAAAAAGGTTGGGGACCGCTGAGGTAGAGTCTCAGGTAGAGGCAACGGGCAAAGGTGTCCCAGCAAGGTGTGGCTCAAGAGGGAGAGGAGGAGGAGGAGAGGAGGCTGGGAGGGGCTCGGTGGTAGTGGCGGTGGTGGCATGTGTGTGGGAGGTGGGGGGGGCTGCATCAGACGGGCCGTGCCGACACCTGAGCTCTTTGTTTCGCTGACGGGCACGGCGCGTCCCGTGAGCCGAGCGGTTTCGCGCCATTCCTGAGCGGTGACGCCACCGGCGGGGCGAGTTCCTCAGCGCCCGGTGACGCGTGCGGCAAACACTCGGCGCAGGTAAACACCGCACGCGCGGTGTGGGCACCTGCACGTCGGTGTCACGCCCGGCCGGGCCCGTGGTCCCAAGTGACCCTACTTCACCATCACCACCACCACCACCACCTCCCTAATCATCCCTTTATCCCACCATCCATTCATCACCACCACCACCACCACCGCCAACCCTAATCATCCATCCCACCCATCGCTCTCTCGCTCACTCTCTCTCTCTCCAGGAGCTGGGAAAGCAGCTGCCAACCCTCGGTGGCTAAAATTACCCAGGCCCACATTGCCACACCCAGGCCGGCCACCCGCCCACTGCACCCTCCCACGCGCCTCCCCGCGACTCCCCCCTTGGTGACTCTCGGCGACTCCTTACAACTCCCCTCCGCCTTTCTGTGACTCTCCTTCCCTCCACGTGACTCCCCGCGACTCCCTTTGCCGCACCCTGCCGCCTCCCATGCCGCTCCCGTGCCGATCCTGTGGCCAGAGCTAAACGTTGGGGCATCCCGTGGACCTGAATTCCTCACTGTAGGAGGAATTCAGGTTCACGGGACGGCACAGCCTGGTGGCTCGGAGGTCAGAGCGCCGAGCCGGCACCGCTTAACCCCCCGGGTTCGAATCTCCGTTTCAGCCGCCCCCGATTAAACCGGGCCCTCGTGGTCAGTGAGTGGATGGTCTCAGCCCAGTCACCAATGACTGCACACACAAAGAAAAAACATCGGGTTAAATTTGTTTCTGCACCTAATTTTGGTAAAACGCAGCTCTGAAAATGACGAATGTCAGTTTGACCGTCACGCGATGAACATCGCCTCCATGCAGCAGGGAGGCTGGCAACTGCTGCCCCCTACTGTACGGACCAGAGGTCACTTGAAGTGATCTCAGAGGCAGCTCTGTGGTATCCGCTTCCGTGGGCCATTGTCTACTACGATATGGACACTTTGTTACCACAACGACGATAGATCATCGTCGTCGTCCGTCGGCTCGCCAGCCACGATGGGGCCGGGGAGCGACTTCGTGCCGCGGTTGTCTTTAGCGGAGACCGCCGCTCCATCTACTCTCAACCCGTTCCCTTCTGGATCCTTCACCACTGCATCTACTACCCCCCCCCCCCCCACCTGGTTTTTGATCTCCCTCTACTGCCGTTTTTTTTGTTGCCGATAGCATCATTAGAGTTAAAGCAGAAGGAGATAGCATCATTAGAGTTAAAGCAGAAGGAGAGATACGTTGGGCGAGAGACGATGACTACGACGGACGGACGGACGTGGAGGGCACCCAGCACACGAGCGGAGACACAGAGCCTCCCTCTCCCCCCATGCGCTACTTTCAGCTACCATGTGACTTTGCACTGCCCCAAATATAAACTTGAAGGTGGTGGGTGAGTGAGCAAATAAAGGCCCGTTAAGGCTCTAAGGGGAATTCTTTGCCTTTGAATGAGTAAGTTAGTGGGTTGGCGGAGTGGGTTGGAAGAGTGGGTGCGCAAGTGAGTGGGTAGGCGCGTGAGTGATTAGGTGTGAGTGGGTGAGCGAGTCTACAATTCACCAGCACTCAGACAAAGCAATTGAATAGCTCTCAACTAAATCTCCGATGGTCACTGTTCATTGGCCACACGAGAGTCTAAGACCGTGGTGTAACCTGTGCTCTGGGACTGCCCGAGCCGTGCCTCTTGAAAAGCCAGTCAGTCGCTCCGCTCACGAGGAATGCCCCCGGCCGTGCCCTTTAAAAGTCAGCCTCGTTTGACCGTTCTCCGCAACTGCCCGGGGCCCAGTCTGGCTCCTGCCCCTGCTCTTTCAACGAGCGCGAGCTGTGAATGGCGGACCCGCGAGTATTTTTAGTCAGGGGAGGAGGAGGAGGAGGCACCTGTCAGACCACAGCCCCGGGGCACAGGAATTCACACTGCGGCTGCTCACAGCCGTCCCAGGGAAACAGCCGGCCCTGCGCCTGGGGCCCCACGGCCCGTGGGCCGGACGTCGTGGCTCTGCCCATGAAGCCCTCCGTCTCCCTCTCTCTCTCTCTCAATCACAGAGACGTCACCCGGCCCAGAGGTGTCCGGATCACCAGCGGTGGCGGCTGAGAGGAGGAGCACCACCTGGAGAGCTCCCCACCGTGGACATTCACAGTGCCCCAGCACACACCGATTCAGTCACCTCCTGATCACTCTCCTATCGCCACGAGCACGGTTCACTATTCGCTCGAACTAAAGTCACCGATGTCGCCACCCGCGTGCCACCACCAGGCTGCAGGTCACCACACTTCCCCTGCCATTACCCTCGTGCCGCTCAACCCTGGAATTCCCTCCAATCGTCACGTTCCCCCAAACTGGTATAATAATAATCTCGCTCAATTCAAGGAATGTGTTACCTCTCACCTATTGCAGCAGTGTACTGTTTGTTACTGGCCATTGGGTGTTTTTTGGGCCTTTGGGCAACTGTGCTCAGCAAGTGAGATAAAAAAAAAACACCCGAGTATTTCGCGTAGCGTACGACTGTGATAACACGCGGGGATGAGTGGACAGAATCGGAGTGGACAGAATGGGTGTGAACCTGCGGAACGGTCTGTGACCTGGTGAGGGACAAGACTGTGGGCGGCCAACGTGTGCCTCTGTGGCGGCAGCTGCCCGAACGGAGCGTGGAAGCGAGCAGCAGCTTGCTTCCACGCTCCTCGGCGGCGCCACTCCGGGCTCGGCAAAGCGCGCCCGGGACAGCGGCGCTCGGGCCGGCCTCGCCAGGCCCCCGTGGGCCCCCGTAGCCAGGTGAGGCGCCAGGGGACGGGATGTCTCTCGTGGCACAAACTCAACTTAATCTAGCCTCCCGTTTGCGTGACAGGACGAGTGTGCGACCGGGCCCAGAGTCCGTCCCGAACACTCACCGCCCCGCCCGACCCCGCCTCCCCATCGCGACCCCTGGCTCGTAAACCAAATTGTTGTCTCGTAAATTCCTCTCCGCGGGTCTATATTTAACCGCGCGCTCGCCGGGGCCCGGGATGGACTCCGTGCCCCACGCGCAACCCAGCCCAGGCACCGTCCACGACCGCAATAACGAGGGGGGACCAGGGGATGAGGGGGTGTGGAGAAGAGGAGATCAATGCGATCGGGGTAACTCGGGGATCAGGAGGTGGAGATACCAGGCGATTAAGTAATGAGGATAATGAGGCTAACAGCTGACCTTTTGAACCAGGTGATAAATAAGGGGGTAGGGAGGGAGACCAGGAGACGAGGGGATGGGAGAACCAGAGGACCAGGGGACATCAGGAGGGGATGAAGAAGACAAGCCTTAATTCCGTCATCACATCCACACACTTCCGCTTGCACCGACACATAAACCCAACACAGCTCGTGCGCAATTGCGGACAAATACTCTCCTCGCAAACAGGCAAAGATCCCCCATAGAGCCTTTTAACAGACTTAGTGAACACCTATTAAGGCCGACACGCCACACGGCAGAGACATAAAAAGAAAAACACGCTCGCACGCACAAATAAATTCACGCAAAGTCACCCTCACATTGCTTTAAAAACACAAGAATAACATTAATACGCAACTTAGCCACAGCCCGCCTGGGCACAGTGGCCATGTTGCATAGGGAATTTCCGGCAGCCATGCTGCATCAGGATTGTCCTCCTGGCAGCCGATTGTCCAGTGGAGTAGCGGGGGCGAGGACGCAACCCGCGAGCGACCGACGATGTGCGTCCATCATCGCGATCTCGCTGGGACGCGCGCAGCCGAAACTCCGCACGTCGCTCTCCGCGCTCTCGGGGCCGACGCGAATTGCCGCCCGGTGCGATGGCACGGGACCCAGGTTCCAGGGGAAGTGCGCGAGGCCCGAAGCTCGCGAGGCCCCCCGATGCCCCGTCCCGCTGACGCGATGAAAGCCGCCGCACCTGCAGCTGCACCCTCCCGCCCACTCCCCGGTGCAACGGCAGGTGCAGCTCCGATCCCCGATATATCCGTAACTCCGAGTCTCATTGTTTTACCGCCACCAACGTCAGAGCATGAGGGACGCGGCGGAATGCAGCGCAGATTGCGCCTTGCAGATATGCAAAGAGGACATATCTGTCGTGTGAGGACACACCTGTAATCCTTACCTTTAACCTTTACCCATCGCACCCGCCCCTCGGACCCCCCCCCCCCCGCCGTGGAATGCGTGTGTGAACTCGTGCAACAACAGCACCGCCCTGGCAGGAGTCACTGGAACGCCAAGGGTGTGGCGGGGCCACCACCACCTCCACCACGACCACCGCCACTCAAATACCACCACTGAATTACCACCACTGAATACCGCCACTCAATTACCGCCACTCAATTACCGCCACTCAATTACCGCCACTCAAATGACCTGATTGGATTGCACATAGCAATCATCACCACGTACTGCACAAACTTGGCAGGGCACTCCCGACAAAGGTCATGAAACCTAGATGAGGCTTTCCTGAAGTGGCATCGCGGGACACACGGGGCGTACACACACACACATCCGGCAACTCCACGTTCTCCCAAGGGGGCGCGAGGGGCACGGTCCCTCCAGGGCCCACGGACCCTGGATCCTGGCAAAAAAAAACCTCTATTATGAGGTGGAGCTGTTATCTCTACTCTGGGGGGGGGGGGGGGGCTGTTACGTTTAGGCAATGCCAGGGCCCTGTTATCTTCACCCTAGAAGCAGAGCTATTGTGATCTCTGACCTCAGGAAGCTGTTTGTATCTCAAAGCCAAAAGGGAGGTTTTTTTGTCATTCGTATTACAGAGGGGGCTCGCATCTGATTTGTTCCTTAGGAATGGGGGTGTCCCTGTTCTGTTTCTTCAGGATGGGTGGTTGCCTTAAATTTCAACTGCACAGAGGGGAGAGGGTTTTGTTGTCACAGGGTCTTGAAATGCAGTTGCATTTGGACGCCGTGTGATCCGCATGGCATCGTGTTTACTTAAGAGGTGGACTGGGGGGCACCTGTTACATTGACTCCTGAGGGGGCGGGGCTCCTTGAACTCCCCCCCCCCGCCCCCCGAATCTCCCATCCTCAATCCCCTATCTTCTCCGTTTCTCTCACAGGGGTATACAAACCGCAGGACCGACCGTGTCCCCCACCCCCCTTCCCCATCCACGGCCCATAGCTACGCCCCCCCGCCCCCCACAACAATCTCAGCGGTCGAGTGTGGCGGGGGTGGGAGGGAGGAGCGGTGGCGACTGAGCACGACACCGCCACTGCACATTAACGGCAGTTGCCATGACGGCGTAATAAAGTGTCACGCCGAGGGGCGAACTTTGGACCGGGGACCCCGTGCTAGCCCCCCTAGGGACCCAGCGGGACCCCAGTGGAGCTCGCAGGTGGCTCCGGGACCAGCCTCTGCGACTCCAGGCACCACGGCCGCTCAGCCGGGGTCAAGGGCGACATGGACCCTCAACCACCCCCGCAAAGGGATCCCCTTGGGATCCTAGTCACGCCCCATGAGGATACTTGGGAACGTTCTGATGGGGTTCTTAATAGCAATGAGGACCCCCTTTTATAAGGCACCGCGCACTCGTGATAACGGACTTAGAACCTAAGGTCGATGATTCCTAGTACCACACTGAGGACTCGCGGTAACACACTGAGGTCCCATGGCACCACACGGAGGATCCAACGGTAACTCACAGAGGACCCATGGTACCACACTGAGAATCCAACGGTAACTCACAGAGGACCCATGGTACCACACGGAGGATCCAACGGTAACTCACATAGGACCCATGGTACCACACTGAGAATCCAACGGTAACACACTGAGGACCCATGGTACCACACGGAGGATCCAACGGTAACTCACATAGGACCCATGGTACCACACGGAGGATCCAACGGTAACTCACATAGGACCCATGGTACCACACTGAGAATCCAACGGTAACTCACAGAGGACCCATGGTACCACACGGAGGATCCAACGGTAACTCACATAGGACCCATGGTACCACACTGAGAATCCAACGGTAACACACTGAGGACCGCGTTACCCTGGCTCAAGGACGAAAAAGGAATTTGTGGCTTCTATCAAACCCCGGCACGGACCGGGCGACAAAGCCGGCCTTGGCACATGGAGGCATTGGGGTGGGGGGGGGCGGGTAGGGATCTCGGTGCCCCTCGTTATCTCTCGTCGGCCCTCCATCAGCCACACCGGGTCGTGGCTTTAACTGACGAATCTAGAAAACACGCTAATGTGCACGTGCGCATGTGTGCATGTGTGCACGTCAGTGTGCTTTTCCAGCCAACCCGCACGAGCTGCAGGTTTAAAATGCGCGCGCGTCGTTCGGTGCTTGCCGTGCCCTAGTCCACCGACCCCCCGCCCCCCCTCTGGACACGACTGCAGACGAGACGTTCCACCTCGAGGGGTCACCCTGGCGAGAGATTTAAAGCACGCCGAGACGCACGGTCGCTCCCAGAGCGCGCGGGGCCGCCTATCGCCGAGGTGCCGAGGTGCCCCCCCCCCCCTCGCCTCCCCCCCCGCCCACGATGCACGGACGAGTAGAGCCCGCTGTGATTTCCGTGGAGGGGGGCCAAGCCGCCAGGTGGGGTGGAGGTTGGGGAGGGAGGGAGGGGGGGCAGCAGGTGAGCTCACCTGATGGTGAGGCGCTCCGACGTGTCCTGCAGGTCGCCCGCGTGGAACAGCTGAGCGGGCTTGAGGCCCAGGTTAGCGCACGCGTCCAGGAACTGGTTCACGTTGTCCTGCCGGGCCGGGAGACGGGAAAATCTCACTCGCGGTGCCGGCGGTCCTCCTCGGGGGATCGCTCACCAGCGCCCAGTTGCAAAGGCACGGCCGCTCACAGTCGCACACTCTCTCAGTCGCACAGACACACAGTCGCACACTCTCACAGTCGCACAGACACGCAGTCGCACACTCTCACAGTCGCACAGACACACAGTCGCACGCTCTCTCAGTCGCACACTCTCACAGTCGCACAGACACACAGTCGCACATTCTCTCAGTCGCACAGACACGCAGTCACACAGACACGCAGTCGCACACTCTCACAGTCGCATAGACACGCAGTCGCTCACTCTCAATGCAAACAACTAAATCATCTTCACGCAGGCACGCTCACATGCTCACCATCCCTCACAGAACCTCAGTCACAGACACACAAAGTCATGCACACGGCCACTCACACAGTCACTCGCACGGTGACAGACGCTCACCCAGTCACGGCTTCAGGAGCCAACACAGCGACGATCACTGTCAGTCACGCTCGCACGGTCACCGTCACAAACACGCAGGCACTTGCCTAACACTCACGCGCTCACTCATCAACAGTCACATGTAAACACTCCAAAAGTCATGGCTAAACACGCACGCACAATGACGGGTGAACACGCACACACAGTGGTGGGTGAACAAATATAGTGACGGGTGCACACACACACTGACGGGTGAACACGCGCACACACACAGCGACAGGAGAAACGCACACACAGTGGTGGGTGAACACACACAGAAAGTGACGGGTGAACACGCGCGCACACACAGTAACGGGTAAATACACGCACACACAGTGACGGGTGAACACACACACAGCGACGGGAGAACACGCACACACAGTGGTGGGTGAACACACACACACAGTGACGGGTGAACACACACACAAAGTGACGGGTGAACACACACACACAAAGTGACGGGTGAACACACACACAGTGACGGGTGAACACACACACACAGTGACGGGTGAACACACACACAGTGACGGGTGAACGCACACACAGTGACGGGTCAAGGCGTACCGTCACCGTCACGGGCTCAGTCACGCACCCCGACTCCCGCACGCGCGACTCCTCGCTGAGAGTGGCAGCGGAGCGGGGAGTGGGGAGCGGGGGTCGCGGCGTGGGAGGAGCAGGGGGAGAGGGGAGAGACGAGGGGAGGTGGCAGAGTGGGGCGGGATTTGGATCCTGTGCCGAAACCCATCCCCTCCCTCCCTCTCTGCCTGATCACTCCCTCTTCATCCCCTCCCTTCCTGCCTCATCCCTCCCTCTTCATCCCATCCTACCTCCCTCCCTGCCCCTCTGTTTCAGAGCTTTCATCACTCTCTCCACCTCAACTCGAAACTCCCTTTCCTCCCCCCCCCCCGCCGCTCTCTCTCTAACCTCTCCTTCTCCCCATGCTCCTCTCCTGTATCCCTCTGTCTCACATCTCATCTCACCTCTCTCTCCCACCTGTTTCCCTCTCTCCGCGTTCTCCCTCGCGTTCCCGGCGCACCCTGCGACGCTCCCCAGCCCCACGGCGAATCGAGACCGAACCCAACCGACTAAAACACCCGCAGAGTCGGCAACCTGCAGCTCCGGAGCCAACACGCCGCTCTTTTAAGGACTGCTCCGTGTGGCGTCGCTTATAAAAGTGCCACCACGGTCTCCCGTATTCATAGCGCGGCATTTGCGGCTCTTGAAATGGAAGTTGTTTTTTTTTTACACGAATCCGAAAAAAAATGTCTCATTGTTATTTTCGTTGCCGCAGATCCCTGCCCCATGCTTAGCCTCTAACGGGCTGTTTAGGGGCAAGTGCTGTTAGCGAGCATCTCGGAAGGGCGGCGCACCAGGCAGTGTTATGGCCAGCATCACGCCCGGTCGCCTTCGTCTCCCCGGTGCGGATGCTTGCACACCGAACCGGGTACTCGTTTAACTGTTGAGCCGACAAAGGAAGGTTTCCGCACTGGATTCAGATATTCATCAGCGACTGTGAGCCGTGCAATGGGCCAAGCACCGCACAACCGCTCCCAACCTTGCATACAAAGACAAAGATCCCCGGTATAGCCTTAACGGACTGTAGGGGCAAGTGCTGTTAAGCGAGCATCTATAAAGGCCGGCACGGCACACGAGGGGGTGGGTGGCCGACACCACGCCCGGCCGCCTTCATCTCCTGAGCAGCGATTTGCACATCGCACCAGGTACTCATTTGAGGCTGAGTCGACCTAGGGGTGGCCCAGGACCGGTTCAGATAATCGTCCCTGGTGTTTGCCGTGAGCGGGAATTGAACCCGGGTCGTCAGGTTCGTAGTGCAGCGCGCTAACCGCTACACTACCGCTCCCCATAGACACACGCACACGTGTAGATAAGCACGTGTCTAACCGGACGTGTGTACGCACAATGTGAACTCAAAATAACGCACACACGGGGGGTACAGGCGTCTACACACACGCGTGCAATAATACTGGCTTGTCCTAGCACTCACTACACTCATAGCTGAATACATACGCGTGCCAGATTACATTCCTGGTGCATAGCAAACATACCAGGTACATAGACAAAGTGCACAGAGTACACACACGTCGCACAGAATACACACGATGTACTCTCTGCTTGTACACAACGCTCATTCACACGACTCTCACCCCCCCCCCCCTCACTAAACCCTCCCTGATCCCCCACTGACCCAATCCCCCCCACGATTCCCCCACGTTGACCCCCTCCCATCCCATCAGTCACTTAACGCTGATCCCCGATCACTCAACCACCCTACCCCCCGCGTGGTCTCACGTCACTCACTGCACAGTGCCTTAGTTTGGCACAGAGAGGGAAGGGGGGAGGGACGTCACTGACGTGAGAGGGGAGCGATGGGCAGGGGGAGGGCGATGGTTTAATTGCGACATCAACGCACGCGCCACCGTCGTCGCGTCTCACGGTTTAAGTGGAACAAGGGCGACGGAGTTCCCCGCCAAACGCCGCAAGAAGCGCCAATTACCGCTAACGAGGGCCGCGCTAACGAGGGCCGCGCTAACGAGGGCCGCGCTAACGAGGGCCGCGCACGCCTCACTCCCTGGGCCGCTCCGGGAAAGCAGAGCCCCCTTGCCGCCACCCCGGCTGCGGGGCCAGATTTAGGAATGTTTGCCCACCGCCCCCCGTCTCCCATCGTCCCCCCTGCAGGACACCAGGGGAAAAAGACCCCCCCCCTCCGCTTAGCCCCCCCCCTCTCTCTCTACACCCCTCCTCCCCAACCCGCCTGACACGCATGCAGACACAAAGACAAAGGGTCCCCCCCCGTCTAGCCTACACAGATGGGGCAAGTGCTGTCAGCGAGCACCTATAGACAGAGGGTGCCTAGGCACGCACGGGGTTGGTGTGGCCGGCACCACGCCTGGTCGCCCTCGTCTCGACAGTGCTCGTTTAAGGCCGAGTCAACGAGGGAGAGAGGTCCAGAACCGGCCGTGGCCGGGAACCGAACTCGGGCTGGCGGGTTCGTAGCGCAGTCCACGACACGCAAACACACACGCGAATCCCCGCACAGAAGCGTGCGCGCACACGACGCACGCACGCGACCACACGTACTCGCAGGTCCCATTCCCGTGCCAAATTCCAAGGGGCCGCGCTCCCTGGACAGATGCCGAGGAGTCTCCAGTGCAAGAAGCGCCGGGCGGGTTTGAGACGCGGCCGCTCGAGACGGGAAGACAGCCGGAGCCGAGGGGACTTCGCCAGGGACGAATGTCAGGCGGGGGTCCGTGCGGGTCGGTGACCCCCGAAAAAATTTCCGCAACCTGGCACACCACGTCCATCACTGCTCTGTGTCGTTGTGGCTACCTAGTCACGTGGCTTCAGTAGGACACGAAGGGAGCAATCGGCTCATCGAGTTCCCAAGCCCCTTTCACTCCAACAAGCATGTGAACTTTTGTCTTCTGTGATGTTAATGGGTGCCGTATGTTGCTGGCCACTTGGCGTTTTACGCCTGGGCTCAGCGGCAACCACGATTGAAAAACACGCACAAAGGCAGCGCTTCCACCGGGCACGCGGCGGGGAGGAGGTGGAACAAAAGCTGACAAGTGTGCAAAAGTGGCGTGGACGGGACGCGCGATTGCACCGAGAAGGAAGGGCTGACGGTCAGTGGGCAACGTGGAAGCAGAGGGCGTGCGCCGGCAACAGGGAGCCGCGAGATTGGCTCGGAACGCGATAGATCGCTACGTCGCAGGAGCGTGGGACACACCGACAGCTTGGGGGGGGTGGGGGGATGTTCATCCTGCAGTGGATAGATCATGCCGACGATTCGGCCGAGCGACAACCCACCCGCAGCAGCAAGCAGCGGGAGTCTCCAGTTCGGAGGCTGTCCCGTGGAGTCCAGGAGGATGTGAGCTGTAGATTTTCCGGAGTTTGGAACTGACGGCTTGGGAACCAGATAGAGGGGGTGGGGAACAGCCGCGGGGAGCAGAAGGTTCCGCTGCTGGACCCCGGAGCGATGAATGGCCGACGCGCCCAGCTCCCTGGCCGCGCTGCGTTTTGTTATTTTTGTTATTTTTATGTTTTAATCGCACTGTTTCCCCAGCCCAGCCTGCGCCTCTCCCCAGAGACCTGCTGACGTCACCGTGACAATGTTTCCTGCCTCCCGGTCGCTCTATCACACCACCTCCAACCACTGGATCCTCCACCCTGGAACTCTTCTTAGCCCATGACCCTACCCTGAGGGACACCTCCATCCCAGGACCTCCCAGCTCAAGACGCCTCCCATCGCTGAACACCTCCAGCCTAGGAACGACTCGATCGCGGGGTGCCCCCTCTGCCGGACCGTCCATTGCGAAACACCTCTGCCGCTGCACCCTCCAACGCTGGGATCCTCGCCTACAGCAGGCTGCATCCTGGGACACCTTCACCCCGAGACCTTCCGCCCGGAGCCTACGGTCCCCCACGGTCCCCCACGGTCCCCCAAAGTCCCCCAAAGTCTCCCACGGTCCCCCACGGTCCCCCACGGTCCCCCGCATTCCCCGCGCCCCGACGCGTCCCTGCGCGCGTTGTTTTTTTTGGGGGGGAATTGGCACCACGGTGACACTCGCTGAGCTCATCGTCGCGTGGCTCGAGCGGCGCGGGATGACATCTCGCACGAGGAATGCGAGGGTTCGGGAGCGGAGGCGGCGCAACCTCCGCGCGAGAGACGAGAGCGGTCGTGCCGCCCATTTCTCCTCCTCCGAGGAGCTCACACTTTCTGAGATTATCGGCCGGGGCAGTGGGTTTAGAGGGTGGCCCCCACCCCCTGCCCCTCACCTCCTCCCCCCCCCAGCTCTGAGCCCCCAGCCACTCCACCAAGGCCCCGTGGGACCCTCCCTGCATGACACCTCTTCACTCATCATCGTCGTCGTCACGCAGGGCCGTGGCAGCGCTGCCGTTCCACGGAGGCGGCGTGCCAAGCAGCTTCACGGGAGGGGGGGTGGCGACCCTGCTGTGTGCGATCGCAATCGGGTCAGTTTCTTTTAAATGTGACAAATTTGGACAGTGACGCCGGCACACAATGGCCTGCTCTTTCTCGAAGGACGTCACGGGATCTTTAATGTTGCCCTGCGAGGCAGTCGGCGTGTGGCACCCTACGGTCACAACTCCACTCGGCCGCAGCATCATCCGGTGGAGGCCTGCCGGATTCGCTCAATTCTGCCCTGGAGAGGCCACGGTCGACGTCACCGCCAGGGTCGAGGTCACCGTCAGGGTCGAGGTCACCGTCAGGGTCGAAGTCACCGTCAGGGTCGGGGTCACCGTCAGGGTCGAGGTCACCGTCAGGGTCGAGGTCACCATCAGGGTAGGGGTCACCATCAGGGTCGAGGTCACCGTCAGGGTCAACGTCACCGTCAGGGTCGGGGTCACCGTCAGGGTCGACGTCACCGTCAGGGTCGACGTCACCGTCAGGGTCGAGGTCACCGTCAGGGTCGACGTCACCGTCAGGGTCGACGTCACCGTCAGGGTCGGGGTCACCATCAGGGTCGAGGTCACCGTCAGGGTCGGGGTCACCGTCAGGGTCGACGTCACCGTCAGGGTCGGGGTCACCGTCAGGGTCGAGGTCACCGTCAGGCTCGAGGTCACCGTCAGGGTCACCGTCAGGGTCGGGGTCACCGTCAGGGTCGGGGTCACCGTCAGGGTCGAGGTCACCGTCAGGGTCGACGTCACCGTCAGGGTCGGGGTCACCGTCAGGGTCGAGGTCACCGTCAGGGTCAATGTCAGGGTCGGGGTCACCATCAGAGTCGAGGTCACCGTCAGGGTCGAGGTCACGCCCCATGGACACAATCCGTGGACCGATTTGGCAGAACGAGCAGTGGACGGGCGGCGCCGATGTGAATTAATCCAAGGGAGCACTTGGCTCATCTCTCTCACACCTTTTCAATTACACAGTACAGATTGGGAGTGCAACAATGGATTATTGGATACATCTGTGCGGAGCTTCCGAGTGTTCTCTCGTTTCCTCCCGCACGGAGGCAACCCCTCATTAATGCAACGCTTGGCCAAACGTCCCAATGTCCTGTAAGGGAGTCTTGAGGCTAAGTGAGAGGCTTTCATGGTAATACATAATAATATTGTTTGATTGCAACCAAAGCCAATTGATCACTGAACTCCCACGGGAAATTTCCGAATGGATTATTTCATCTCAAGACCTGATGTCCCAAAAGCGTCGCCAGCAGCAAAGTCCCAAGGAAGGAATTCCTTCCCCGAGCATTGCCCGCATCCCCGCCCCTCCCCTCTTCCTCCCGGCGTTATCACCTCCCCAGGCGTGGCTCACAGATAGACGAGATTGGCCTAATCTCGCCGTCCCAACGAATTGGTTGCAATAAACGTTAAGAGGTGCGCGTGCGCGCACACAAAAAAGCACAAAGATCCCCCGTATAGCCTTTAACGGACTGTCGGATTAAGTGCTATTAGCGAGCTTCTACGAAGGCCGAAATGGCACAAGAGGGGGTGTGGTTACCAGCACTAAGCCCGGCCGCGTATGTGTCCCCAATTCTGATATTTTCATACCACCCACGGTACTGATTGAAGATTGAGTCGACCTAGGGGAGGCCCAGGACCGGTTTACAGAACAACCTACTGTTATTGGTCAGGAGCGGGATTCGGGTCACTGGGGAGCGGTGGCGCTGCAGTTAGCTGCGGCGCCACCACACATGCGTACACACACATATCGCGAATATACAGACAGGCATATATTTACACAAGCACACAGAGGCACACACACCAGTCCTAGGGCCATTTACAATTAGAGCTGTAATGTTGGCCAAAGTTATAATAACGTTAACTCATTAAACTTTATTACAAACTACAGAATTACAAAGGGTAATTATCCTAGATAACGGATACACAACCACGCAAGTTGACACACACACACAAAATAAGAGGTGACCAAAATAACCTGTATGAGGCTGCTGGGGCAAGTGCTCATAGCGAGCACCTATGAAGGCCAGCACGGCACAAGAGGGCATGGGTGGCTAGCACGGCCGCCTTTGTCTCCCTGGTGCTGAGGTTTAAACAAAAAAACCAGGTACTCATTTAAGGCTGAGTCGACCTAGATTCAGACACACGGGCATATATATACACACACACACAGTTAAAGCAACACACAGACACAACGAGGCACACGGACGGACACACGTTGGGTACACGTTCACACGGGCGCGCTCACTCGCGCTGCGCACCCACTCACAAGGACCGGGAAACACAGACGTGAGTTCCCAACGAGGATGAGAACCTCCTCACCGCCCTCCTCACACCACCCCCCTGCCCCATCTTCACGTGGCACGTGGGGGGCCTGACCCTTGAACCCTGACACCCGAGGAGGACTGGGAGAGGGGCAACATGGTGCTTGGGGAACCGAGAATGGAAACCACCACTACCACCACTCTCACAAGCGCTCACCACACACACCACCACTACACCAGAGCCACCAAACCCAACACAACTACACACACCACAATCAACAAACCAAACACCACCACCACAATCGCTCACCACAACCACCGCAATCACCACCGCAACGACAATCAGACACACTGGCGTGCACCAAACCCACAGTGGGTCCAGAAGGATGCACAGCTGAGAGAGACTCCCCGGTGGTGGTGAGCGCACCGCTCCGCGTGGAGCGCTGGGAGCGGTGTGGGAGCATGGTGGTGGAGTGCGGTGTGCGAGTGCAGTGGTGTTGGTGCAGGGGTCCTGTGCGGGGGGGGATTGATGGTGCGGTGTCGTGTGGTGTAGGGGTGTGGGAGTGTGGCGTGGTGGTGCGGTGCTCTGGGGATCTGGTGTGGGAGTGCGGTGCAGGGGTCATATGTGGTGGTGTAGGAATCCGATGTGGTAGTGCAGTGGTGTGGTGGTGCAAGTTCCGTGTTGGTGGTGTGGGAGGTCTGGTGTGGTAGTGCAGTGGTGCGGTGCGGGGGTGTGGTGCAGAGGTGCGGCATCGCCAATGTCACTCACGAGCCCGGCGATCGGGGTCGGCTGTCGGTTCACCCTCTTCACCAGTCCCGGCTTGATGTGGTTCACGAGGCTATGGCACAACAACCACAACAACCGCTACAACCACATCCACCACAACCACCCATACAACCACAACACAGGGGGGTTGAGTCCCTGGGTTCAGAATCGTCATCGCTACCCTCCCATGCCCTTCCTCCCCCAGCTCTGCCATCCTTTACCCTTCCGTCCCATGCCCCCCCCCCCCCCCCCGGCCTTCTGTGCTCCGGGTGCGGGTGATGCTGTGGTGCAGCTGTACAAGTGACAACCCCTCACCCTTCCCTCATCCCTGCCCTCCCTTGCCCTGTCGCCAAGTGCCCTGTGCCCCGAGACTCACTCGCAGAGGGCAACGCCGTTCTCCAGGGCAGCGCGGAAATCCTCTCCCTCCAGCTCTCGACCTGTGACCTCCTGCACGACACACGGCAACGCGCCACAGGGCGAGCAGTGACGGTGAGCGGGGGGCGAGCGAGTGCGAGCATGTCACCGTACCAGAGGGGTGCGACCAGTGACGTCAGCTGTCGAGTGTGCAGGCGGTGCAATTGCACCTGGGGGGTTGGGAGGCAGTGGGTGGGGGGGGAGAATGGAATTTGAACAAGGTGGAGGGGGCCCACGTCGTTCGTTGCACAAGGACTCATGCCAACCACACCATGACACAGAGTGAGAGGGATCGCTGTGTGTGTGTGTGTGTGAGAGGAGTTGTGTGTCTGTGTGTGTGTGTGTGCGCGAGTGGAACCATTTGTGCCGTAGTACGAACCCGGCGACCCGAGTTTGATTCTCGTTCACGGTCGCCAACAAGGGAGTCCTCCCCTAGGTCGACTCGGCCTCAAATGAGTACCTGGTATGAGGTGTAAACGTAGCGTACTGGGGAGACAAAGGCGGCTGGGCGTGGTGCTGGCTACCCCCCTCGTGTGCCTTACTGGCCTTCACAGGAGCTCGCTAACAGCACTTGCCACCACAAGTCTATTATGGCTACGTGGAGGGTGCTTACACATCGCACCAGGTACTCATTTAAGGCTGAGTCGACATAGGGGAGGCCCAGGACCCGTTCAGACAATCGTCACTGGCGTTGCTCGTACGTGCACGCACACTCTGACACACACACACATGTAGCATCGTTACCTTCACACACACATGTAGCATCGTTACCTTCACACACACACACACGTAGCATCGTTACCCTCACACACACGTAGCATTGTTACCTTCACACACACACACGTAGCATCGTTACCCTCACACACACACACGTAGCATCGTTACCCTCACACACACATAGCATCGTTACCTTCACACACACACACATGTAGCATCGTTACCTTCACACACACACACGTAGCATCGTTACCTTCACACACACACACGTAGCATCGTTACCCACACACACACATGTAGCATCGTTACCTTCACACACACACACGTATCATCGTTACCCTCACACACACACACGTAGCATCGTTACCCTCACACACACATAGCTGGTTGCCCTCTCACACACACACACGTAGCATCGTTACCTTCACACACACACACGTAGCATCGTTACCTTCACACACACGTAGCTGGTTGCCCTCTCACACACACACGTAGCATTGTTACCCTCACACACACGTAGCATCGTTACCTTCACACACACATAGCTGGTTGCCCTCTCACACACACACGTAGCATCGTTACCCTCTCACACACACACGTAGCATCGTTACCCACACACACACACGTAGCATGGTTACCTTCACACACACACACACGTAGCATCGTTACCCTCACACACACATAGCTGGTTGCCCTCTCACACACACACACACGTAGCATCGTTACCCTCTCACACACACGTAGCAAGGTTATCTTCACACACACGTAGCATCGTTACCCTCTCACACGCTCGCACTCAGACCCCGATAAAGGGACAGGAGGTGTGAGGGAAGTGATCTCGAGACGTGAGGTGGGGTCAAGATGCACCCATTGATCCCCAAGGGGACCGCGTGGGGGCGGTGGGGGCGGGGGATCCTTCACCCCCCCCTTCACCCCCTCCCCCATCCCTCCCCCCCTTCACCCCCTCCCCCATCCCTCCCCCCCTTCACCCCCTCCCCCATCCCTCCCCCCCGCCCGCCACCCGGAGGAGCGCGTGCCCGGGCTGGGCGCGTGCGTGGCGTGGATCGCGTCGCCATGGCGACCTGGCCAGAGGCGCGCGTGTGCGCGTGCACACTCCTGTGTTTAGGTTTGTTTGTGTGTGCACGTGGTGTGCACGTGTAGTGCACGTGGGCGTGTGTGTGTTTGTGTGCGCACGTGGGAGTACATGTGTGTTTGTGCGTGGGAGTGTGTGCACGTTTTTGTGGGATGTGCACATGTATGGGTGTGCGAGTGTGTGTGGGAGTGTGTGTGCGCACGTGGAAGTGTATGTGTGAGCACTTGTGAGTGGGATGTGCACGTGTATGCGTGCACGTGGGAGTGTTACGTGTGTGTATGGGAGTGTGTGTGGGAGTGTGTGTGTGCACGTGGGAGTGTTACGTGTGTATGGGAGTGTGTGTGGGAGTGTGTGTGTGCACGTGGGAGTGTTACGTGTGTGTGCTCAAACTTAGGTAGTTACTACCACCGTGGTTATTGGCCAGTTGTCACAGTGGGGAGTACAGGCGGTGCATCTGCCAGTCATCTCGGTTAACCTGGGTCTAAACTACTCCCGTCATCGTGGTCTTCGTGTCTGTGTGACAGGATGACACTTCGTGTGAGAGGGTGACACTTCGTGTGAGAGGGTGACACTTCGTGTGAGAGGGTGACACTTCGTGTGAGAGGGTGACACTTCGTGTGAGAGGGTGACACTTCGTGTGAGAGGGTGACACTTCGTGTGAGAGGGTGACACTTCGTGTGAGAGGGTGACACTTCGTGTGAGAGGGTGACACTTCGTGTGAGAGGGTGACACTTCGTGTGAGAGGGTGACACTTCGTGTGAGAGGGTGACACTTCGTGTGAGAGGGTGACACTTCGTGTGAGAGGGTGACACTTCGTGTGAGAGGGTGACACTTCGTGTGAGAGGGTGACACTTCGTGTGAGAGGGTGACACTTCGTGTGAGAGGGTGACACTTCGTGTGAGAGGGTGACACTTCGTGTGAGAGGGTGACACTTCGTGTGAGAGGGTGACACTTCGTGTGAGAGGGTGACACTTCGTGTGACAGGGTGACACTTCGTGTGAGAGGGTGACACTTCGTGTGAGAGGGTGACATTTCGTGTGAGAGGGTGACACTTCGTGACAGGGTGACACTTCGTGTGAGAGGGTGACACTTCGTGTGAGAGGGTGACACTTCGTGTGACAGGGTGACACTCCGTGTGACAAGGTGACACTTCGTGTGAGAGGGTGATACTTCGTGTGACAGGGTGACACTTCGTGTGAGGGTGACACTTCGTGTGACAGGGTGACACTTCGTGTGACAAGGTGACACTTCGTGTGACAGGGTGACACTTCGTGTGACAGGGTGACACTTCTTGTGAGAGGGTGACACTTCGTGTGACAGGGTGACACTTCGTGTGACAGGGTGACACGAAGTGTGACAGGGTGACACGAAGTGTGACAGGGTGACACTTCGTGTGACAGGGTGACACTTTGTGTGCGAGTCTGCGTGCGCTCGACTCAGCATCAAGTGAGGTGCATCTGGCGAATATTTAAACCGGTCCTGGGCCTCTCCTCGGTCGACTCAGCCTCAAATAACTATCTTAGCCTCTTCTGCGCTTCCACTATGTGCGCTCGGCCTTAAATGAGTACTAGGTGCGGTTTGTAAACATCGGCACCAGGGAGACAAAAGCACGCCCGCACGTGGTGCTGACCACAGCATCCGCTTTGTGCGCCGTGCCGGCATTAACAGGAGCTCGCAAACTCACACTCGGGTCTTTGTGCGAGCGAGCACGTGGGTGGAGTACATGTGTCACCCCCCATGTGTCACCCCCCATGTGTCACCCCCCATGTGTCATCCCCCATGTGTCACCCTCCACCCCCAAGTGTCACCCCCCCCCCAAGTGTAAGTCCCCACGTGCCACTCCCCGCGGGTAGGCGCCACGCTCACCGCACCTGACACATTCCCCCAGCAGCAGCCGCAGGGTTCGATATCGAGACGCGATTCGCACAAAGGTAAATATCCCCCGTGTAGCCTTAACAGAATATTGGGGGCAAGTGCTGTTAGCGAGCACCTATGAAGGCCGGAACGGCACACGAAGGGATGGGTGGCCAGCAACCACGCCCGGCCGCCTTTGCCTCCCACGTGGCAATGTTTACACACCGCACCAGGTACTCATTTTAAGGCCGAGTCGATCCTGAGAGACCCAAGATTGGCTCAGATAGTCGTGACTGGTGTTGGCCGTGATACACACTCACGTACATATACGGACAGACGTACAAAGACACAGGGGTCGACACAGATACAGAGATACAGAGATACACATGCACTGGCCCCGAATTTATGTGTGGCGCCACAACTGAGTTAGACACCTGTACTATTTTCTATTTCTGTTTGACCAGGTAAAGCACACTCGGATATGCAGCTCTTTATCAGAAGCGACCGGGCCACAAATTGAAAGCTCAACGAAGTGGCTTATCGCGTGGAAATTTAAAGCAGCCAAATACTCTAAACGCGTGTTTCTCTGAATGTGGAGGGGAAAAACCGGAGGACCGGGAGAAAAATCCACGCAACACCACGGGGGAGAGAGACACGCAAACTCCAAATATACCAGCGCCATGGTCGGGATCGAGCCCGCGACCTCCTGCATACCATGCCGTGAGTCACGGCGCGCGCGTGTCACAGGCACCCGTGAGATCCCGATGATGAAAATAATTTAATTGCAGCATCTGTGGCGACGCGCGACACTGGGGGGAGATTATCGTGGGGGTGTGTCCCCCCGAAGTCAATTAGAGCGAGGAGGAGGGGGGGGGTGATAGGGGGTGTGGGGTCACAGGGAAAGGAGCTCGAGTGAGCAAGTGAGGAGGGGGGGTCTGAGATAAAACGAGGACGCGCCACTCCCTCAACGACACGAACATTCTGAGAATTCACTTCTTTAGAACTGCCGCTCGTTGCGTGTTCAGTTTGTTGTCCCCACACCGCACTTCACATGAGCACGGTTGGCTACGTACGGTGCGAAAGAAGTTCAACACACACACATACATATTCTCCTCTCGCTGGTAGTGGCGAGTGCTGTTAGTGAGCACGTAAGGCCGGAAAGAGCGCAAGATAGGGTGACGTGACTAGCACCACACCCGGCCACCTTTGTCTCGCCAGTGCTGTTTATTTAAACACCACAACAGGTACTTATAGGGCTTCGTCGACCTAGAGGAAGCCCAGAACCGGTTCTTATATCACTCGCCACTGATCATTCGCTATGTAACACAATTTTTGTTCCAGGGTAGTGTTATTTTTTTAATTGCTTATG